TACAAAGGGCGCCGCGTGCGCATCCAAAGCCGGGTAGACCAGTGCAAACCAAGGGGAGCCCTTGTGTGCTTTTCGTCGCCGGCAGCCCTGGAACGACTCCGAACTAATAACCCAGCCTTCACCCCCCCGCCCCGATGCCTCCGAGGCCGGGCTGCGTCGCGGCACACGTGTAGGGGACACCCACCTGGACCAACCAAGGGCACTTTTTTTGCGACTCTCTGCAAAAATCCGTGCATTTCCTTGAAATCCATACATTTGAGCAAAAACTGTACTTTTCTTGCAGGCTCAACATAAGACACAGGAGCATTTTGATACCTTTTTTCTACAAGAATCTCACTTTCAGCTCCGGCCATGGCACTGGAGATTGTCATGCTCATACCATTTGAAGGTGTGCAATTCACCAAGGACAAAAGGTGCCCATTTCCTCAAGAAAATGTTCCGCTGATTTCCGTGCATTTTCCGCAGATTTCCGTACTTTTCCCGCCGATTTCCGTGCACTTCCCGCCGATTTCCGTGCATTTGCGGTTTCTGCATTTTGGCTGAGAAAACTGCAAACTCGCAAAAGCGGCAAGGAAGCTGTCACACATTACCCCACAGCAATTGGAGACGAAAGACCTGAAACGGAATTAAGTATGACGGGCCGTGTAAATTGCAAACTGTGTTCATGTGCATCCAAGTGCACCACAAACGCTCACAGCCTGCTAAAAAGCGATTTCCGTCAAATTTCCTCAAAAGTGTACATTGACACTTTTTTTCTGCATGTACGGAAATTTCAGTACTTTTGGAGGGTTTAGGCATGCTGGTGCTGGCATCTACGATCCGCAGGCGCACACGTTGCTCGGGGGGTTTTCAGCCGTGCCCCTAGACTTGTTTAGAAAATTCAGGGCAGCGAGTCCTTTTGTATATATATATATATATATATATAGTAGGCAACTGAGGGGTTCCAGAAGGTTCGGGGGGTTGCCTGGGCCACTGAAAGATTCGCTTGTGGCAAGGGAACAAACTAAGTTTGGAATGGCCTTCCAGCCACGGGTCCGTACAAAGGCCATTCCGCACCAGTCGGGATTGGTGACTTGTCATTTGCAATTCGGATCTTCATCCATCCGATCTGGTGGATTGCATCCATTCACGGTTGTCCTTTTACATCTTGGTTCAGATACATCATGCCACTGGTTTCATTTAATTCGGTTCTGATTATTTTTCCAGTGCCATGCATTTTAGACCAAGGAACAAAGGGTTCCCTTGTGAGCTCTAGTCTGTTTCGCCACTTTACTTGGTGGCTCCAGCCATCCCCTTAGCTTTTTAGCCTTTTAGCGTTTAGTGGGGGTTTCCATTCAACCCACTCAAAGTTGAACTTTTAGCAGGGGATCTGAGGCAGCCCAGACCTGTTTCTTTTGGAAGCCAAGCCGTGAGGGGCCTCAAACTGTACAAGGGCTCTGGCTGCTGGCTGCTGGTCGCAGATGGGATTGAAAGCAATCCTGAAAAGGAACCTACCACGCATGTAAATGACGGTAGATCGGTCTTTCTGGAAGGCGTTCCTTGCAGAAAGGCCCGAGTTTGATGAGATTTCCTTTGAGCTCGTATTTACAGGTTGGACCAGAGGGGTCCTTTTGATCGGTTAGTTTGGTTAGACTTCCATAGGGTTCCACTGGTAAGTTGAGATTGGTTGTAGGACTCAGTTGCCAGGACTCTCTGATTTTCCCAAAAGTCACGTGCCCGATGCTTTGGATTTGGCTTGAGGCTCTGGCTTTCGTAGAGGGTAAATGGGAACCCATCCCTGAACCACCAAAGACCACCGAGTCGTCTCCACGAGGGAACTTTGGTGCATGGCTGCATGTTGCCAAGACTTTCACTTTTTGGATTTGTTTGGGTAACATGGGCTATATGTCTGTAAAAGATTAACTTCCCCAGGGCTTGAAGTTTTAAGGGGTAAGTGTGGGTTTTCCCCAGTAAACCACGAAAAGTTGCTCACTGTTAGCAGAGCAGATTTCGCCACCGAGGGAAGCTGAGTGACCTTGCAGAGTATCCGGAAGCACGGGGCGCGCGTTTTGAGCGCGCGCCAGGAGATGCACGCGGTGAACCTGCAGCGTTTGCGCAGCGCCGAAGCTCGCGACGGGCGGCGGCTCGGCGAGACCCCCGACCTGATTCACCATGGACGACTGCTGTGGACGATTGGGGGTTGTTCAAAAAGAGCCACTTTGCATGGGATGTCCATTGGGAGAACCACAGAAAAGATGACGCTTTTCGCAACATGGGAAAGGATGCCACATGGTCATTTGGGGGCCACAAAGATTGATCAACCCGCATTTGAGCCACGTGCTCAAAACCGATTCGGGTAGATGGTCCGGCTAGTACGGGACGATGCCCTTGCCAGAAATAGCTGCGGGAATCCGCCTTCTTAGTCCTGTACATGGTTCTGGGTAGACCATTTTAGTACCATGTTTTGATTGCGACTCATTTGTTGGCCGAACATCTATGTGTGGATTCCTTTTGCATTCGTTTCAACCGCCGCCCTTTTCGGAAAGAAAACACACTCACTGCAGGGCCTGTTGTTTGGTCGGCTTTGGTGACTTCCGGATGAACTTCCCATGGCAACCAAAATGAGATGCCGGGCATGAGGAAAAGAGTTGCTTGATTGGATCCGAGCTGGACAGAGTGGGCACTGGCCATGGAATAACTCAAGACTGACTGATGCATAGGAAGCTTCCTGATTGCTTTGCCAGCGCACCAACATGGATCAATTCAGTTGGCCAAGGAGTGACGGCTCCCGTTCCGTGTTGACTTCTGCGCAGTGATTTCAATCCAGCGGGAATCAACGTCTGCAATGGCCAGACAGGCATGTCCAGATACAAAGTGCGCCGAGTGCAAGTCCGAAGCCGGGTATTTGTTCAGAGCCCGCTGGCCTTTTTTCAGTTAGGATTCTTGGCATTCCTAGTGAATATCCATGAATATCCCCTGACTCCGAACTAGTAACCCAGCCAATCTGGGCCAAGACCCCAACAGTGCCACCTGTGGCAAATCAAAAGTCCAGGCACTTTGGGCGAATCCACTCGGTCGGAAGCGAGTTCTTTGGGTCAGACAAGTCCCCCCCCACCCCATCCCCCCCCCCATCCCCCCCCATCCCCCCCCATCCCCCCCCATGGGTGCATGGATGCCGAGGCCGAGCTGCGTCGCGGCCTACCTGCGATGCCTGGATGCCTCGGAAGGCGGGGCGAGCCGGGCATCGGGCCGAAGGAGGGATAGACACGAGACCCAGTGGCGCTTTTTCTCCTTGGCTAGGTCCCGCAGCTAGGTGCCCGACCTCTCGCCCCTTTTTTGGTAGGCAGGGTTCGGTGGTACCCTTATTCTAGCCTCTCTACCGGAGGACCTAGTTGGATTGTGCCCTTACACTGCCAACTGGGTAGCCGGGTAGAGTTGTTCGAATTTTTCCCCTTGTCGCAGAGATCTCATGTTCCATTTCGAGACAAACCCTAGCGGATGTCTTTTGGACCAATGTGAGGGTTGCTCTTTCCGCACCTCACATTGCGTTGACCCTCATGTTTGGATAGACTGCCGTCATTGAGCCCTTTTGGTTCACTTAGGCGCAAAGCTTTCTACCTGTCCCCAAGGCTCTTTGGATCCCTAAGCCTGGATTGCTCAAGTTCTTTGGGGCACTCTTGAGGGGGTGAATCCCATGCTGAAGGCAAGAGATGACACAGAGAGGGACTTTACGATATGTCAAAGATATCTTTTGTCAATACCCACATTCTGTTTACTTGTCGGGCCATGTCGCTGAGGATCCCTGCGACTCGAGAAAGGGGGTCCGGCTCCGGCGGCCTTTGGCCTTTTTTGCACAAAAGTGGGGCTGTCTCAAAATTAGGCGATTCCGGACCCCCAAAACGGCAACGGTGTCCTTTCGCCATTGTCTGTTTCACCACTATTCAAAGCCCCAAGTGGGGCTGTCTCGAAATTAGGCGACCCAGACTGTTTCACCACTATTCAAAACTTCAAAACCCATCCTCTGCGCCTCTCCGCCCGGTTTCTCAAAGCGCTGTGCCCTCCCTTTTCGGCTCGGCGAGGCTACCCGGGCTCCCCGCGCCTGGCGCGGCAGATCCTCGGATCGACGGCCTCCGCGGTGGTCTTCGAGGCGGCGCCGCAGAGCGCGGCGCGGCTGCGGTGGGCGATGGAGGGAAGCGGATGGCAGGTGCGCCAGGAGGACGCCTACAGGCTGGGACTGAGGATCTGGTCGGGGGGGGGGGGGGGGCCCGAGTGGGGGGGGGGGAGCATGGGGCGGGGTGGGGGGAGGGGTGCTATCAAGCAGCCCAGTTTTGGTTTGGGGGAAAGGGTGACGTCCGGGTGCGCCACTAGTGTAACTTTTGGCAAATGCTAGGTAGGGGGGGAGGTGTGGAGACTTGGGGTCCCCGATTCTGACGGTGTTTTGCAAAGCTGCAAGGTTGAAATATGGCTTGCAACCATATTTGGCTGGGGGTCTCAAGTTTGAAAGGTTGAAAGGTTGTAGGCATCTCAGGCTTGGCTTGGGGGAAAGCTGAGGGAAGGTGTGGTGATGTTCGGGTGTGCCACGAGTAGTAGTAGGCTTATGGCAAACGCTGGGTAGACTTCTGGACCCCCCGAGGCCAGTTCGGAAGTTTTGGTGCTGTGATTGTCCATCTTTGTCACATCCTAGGCATACTGGACTTAGGGCCCCTGTTTGTTCCAGGAACTTGGTTGGTCTTTGGTTCGGGTTTAGCCAGACGTTTCTAAAATATCGGGGAGTCCCAATTCCACAGCAGTGGGCCACAGGAGGAGGTTGATGGATTTGCGGCCCAGTGTGCGGCAACCCTTTGTTGTCTTGCGGGTTCTCCCTTTAACCATTGTCAACCTCTAGTTGATCAAGGAGGAGCTTCTTTTTGCTGTCAGGGTCACTGGGCATCGGGTTTTTTCCCCCTTTTTCCTCGCAGGGTGGCTCTGGGCAATTGGCTTTATTCGAAGGCCGAAGTCAGTGAATGCCGATGTGGCGCCAGGGGTCTTCCGGAGCTTTTCGCACGCCAGCCAGAGAGGCGGCGCTTTGCTGGGCCGTTGCTTCGCTGGGTTCAACATTGGGCCACGGCAAGGCGGAAAAAATAGGAGGATTTCTGGAGGGATTGCTGGGATCTTTTTTGGAACTAGATTGGGTATTGAACTGAAATGGTCATAGCGAGGTGTCAAGTTGAACTACCCTCCCACCATCTAATATGGAAGTGCACAGACCCCTGTAGAAAGACTACTTTGCTCTTGGAAAGCGCCTTTTTGCACTTCCATGTTGGCGGGTGGGAGGGTAATTCGGTCAGGGAAAAATTGTTTCTTGCTTTCCGCGTGCGTGTTGCCCGGTGTGAGGGCTCTGGTGTTTATCGACCCTCCTTACGAGCTGTGCTTCGCGGACAACCTGAACTTCCGGTTGCCGGGAAGCCGAGCGCGAGCCACTTGTTCGGGCGTCGGTCGGAGGTGTGATGGGGAACCCCAGCGCCACAGACAAAGGCAGGGAGGCAGTTTGGGTTTGATGCGCCCTGATAAAAAAGAAGCTGTTTTTGATTCCTGCTGGGGCATCCTTGGACCCTTTAATGTCAGCTGCGGGGATGGATGAAGAGGAGCTGACATTGCAAGGTTGCAGGTGCGCAACAAACAGTTTCCCGCAAGCACGCTTCCATTGAAAAGAGAGAGAGAGAGAGAGAGGAGATACCCTCACAAGAAGGCGCCCCAATTAATTAGCGCCTTGCAAAAAACGACTACAGCCGGGCGCTAGGGCTGTGACGGGGGTAGCTGTCCCATTGGGCTGCTCCTTCGGTGCGTTGGGCTGCTCCTTCCGGAGGCTGCGGCAGCTGCAGAGCCACTGGCCCACGAGCTGCGTGGCCATCTGGTGCGCTTTCGCGCTCGATCGCTCTCGCTTTCGAAGATGTTGCTCGCTGGAGAAACCGTAGACCTGTCAACAACCGGCTGGGGGTTCGTTTTGAGGCTGGTTTGTTGTGGTGGCCCAAAAAATCGGCCCGCCCTTTGTTGTGGCCGTCAAAGACCAGGGGTTCCGTCTTGAGGGAGGCTCGTTTGTAGTGGCCGTCAACAAAAAGCGGGTCGCCCATTTGACCTGGCTCGCGTTTTTTTGTTTTTGTTTTGTGCGGCATATGTTTTGGGGTTATGTCCGAACAATTTGTCGACCACCCCGACATGTGAGCTGCGCCAAAAGCCCTTCTGTTCATGTTGGGTGGTTTTGCAATACCAGAGGCCCGCGTAAGCTGAAGATGCATGCGCGTAAACATGTTGTTGTTGTGAGTATCCTTGCGGAAGCTGCGGCGTATGCGACTTGTACGCGTCCGTGAAACCCGATGCATTGCATCACAGCGCTGGCCGTGCTGGAGGTAAGATGACGGCACCAAAGGATGGGGGGGAACCAGGAATGTCTCAAAAGCTTTGTCAGTGTGTTATGTTGCTTTCCTCTGAACCCACCCAGAAGTTTTGGAACCTTCATTCAGGTGTCAAACCCATTCAAACTCCCCGTTGAGTGCGTCGCGAGCGCGAGGTATCCCATTCGAGATGATGCGCGGTCGCAGCGGGTGTACCGCAGGACTGGCGTGCCATTTATCACTTGCCCAAAGTCTCTTAAGGGAATGAACAAGGCGCTCACAAATTCTAGTGGTCTAGTTTTCGTCTTGCCGGTCCATTGGCGAAAGGGGCTCGCCTTTCTGGGTTGACTTTGAAGAGCCCAACTCGCGACCGGCACCCAAGAGGCAGTCGCGGGCAAATTGGACACGAGCCAACGGGCCACGGGCCCAGCGCAAGCCGCATTTGTTTGTTTTAATTAAACTAGGCCATTCGATTGGCTCCTTGAAGCCTTGGTTGAGGGGTGCCTTTCGGGGTCTCGGATCGCACAATGCCGCAATGCCGCCTTTGGGATTTCTGGGGAGGGCTCCGCGGAATTCCACCGACGGACCTCAGATTCTCCGCAGGATCGGCGCCATGGGCCTGCGAGTGATGGCCTGCCTGGGCCTCAGCAGGGTGCAGCACCCTTGTTATGGTGTATGTCACAGTTTTCTCTGATGGTTCTAGGGGTTGCTTCCTTTTCCATTCTTTGCAACCATGGTTCCTTCCAAACACCGGATCCGTGTTTCCCTCGGGTTCCGGAGGTTTTCCAGAAAGATTCGGATCCCTGGCTTCAGCATGGAAATGGAAGGTGCCCCTATGTTCTAAGGCTTCCGGCAGAGGGAGGGAACAGTCGCCTGGGGAACGGAACCAAGAGCGCTTCCGGCGGGAAATCGGGGTGACCCGTTCCTTTCCGCCTCAGCGGGGCCAAGCTCAGAGCGAGCGCCGAGCGCCGTGAGAGCCGCGGGCTGAGGCGAGTTCTCGTTGAGCCGCAGCGCCTGCGCGAAGGGCGCCATCAGGAGAGCTGCGTTGTTGGTTTCCAAAGATAGACTCCAACCAGGGGGGTTCCTTTTGGACAATGAAGTAGGGCAAATTAGTTGTAGAAATTGGTTGACCCTTTGCAGGGGGTGAGACCCAAATCCAGGCTGTCCGTTTCAGGAAATTAAATGATCTGCTCGGAATGGTCTACTTGAATTAGTAGAAACCATGCAGGTGCCATCCAGGCGTTGAATAGAATTTTACGGTGGGGTTGCACCATTGTTGCAGTTGAATCCCATAGTTCTGGACAATTTTTACGAGCTGCCCCGATGCTAACGGGATACAACAAGCTCAAAACCAGAATGCAGATCCTGTACACGGGCGGGGATCCTTCTTCCCAGTTTGCGAATTAACCAATCCTTGGCGCGGGGTGAGATCCTTGCCAGTCCAGTTTTGACAAAGATTTGCCTCCGATCTTTGCCTCCCGCGGCCTCCGAAGGGGCCGCTTTTTTCCGGTCGAATCCCTCGGCCTTGGTTCGGGGCTTGCGATCTTCGGGGGTCGGGGGCTTTCCAGGCGCGGATTTTTGTTGCCCCAGCTTGAACTTGTTGCCTCGGAAGTTTGTCACAACCCTCCTTAGCATTGCGCCACCCGAAGGTTCCATTGGGACAATCGTCCATCATTCCGGTCCAGTCAGGTTCCAGTGTCAAGTTGCTTCTTTTCTCCAGGTCTCCCCAAAAAACACACTCGCAGCTGCTCAGAACAAATCGAGACTAAGAAGAGAGCCGCAACCTCCGAGTCCTGTGGGCTTGCCGCGTCTCGACGGACCCGGAGCGGGAGCGCCCCTCCGACTCCGATTGCGAGGACCGGGATGCTGGTGGTGCGGCCCCCCGAGACCTTGGAGCCGCAGCTGCGGGAGGCGGTTTCGGGCCGTGCCGCGTGCCGCGTGCCGTTTCGAGCCGACCTGGCGGTGAGTTTTTGTCAAAACCGTTAAACGGGATCCCGTTTTGGTTGGTAGGTGAATTTTAAACCTATTTTGGTGGGGATCGGGATGTTCGCTGGGGCCACGATTTGGCTGTGGGTCAAAACCAATGGTACGATTGTGGGGTAGGTGAGTTCACCACCCATTTAGGACCTATTTTAGTGGTTGGATTGGGATGTTCCCTGTGCGGGCTTTTGACCCATGGCCACCCATGAGCTCGCAGGGGTACAACTTTACAGCTGATGCCCCGTCTTTTGGTGGTCTAGGGGAAGCCAAACTCAATCCGACCAAATCCGAGGAAGATTCTTGGCAAGAATCTCCTGTGCTTGGGACCTCCCGGGTCTTCTGCCTTTGTGTTAATGCCAGGTTTCCCTTCGCGGGGATCCGACGGCTGGCCCGCGCGAGGATCTTTTCGAGTCAACGTGGACACGTTTGTGCCAGCAAATCAACACACCAAAGCCACATCAACCAGTCTCTGCATGCAACGGAGAAGCGACCTAGCACATGCAATGCGCCACATTTGAACAGGTGACAGTGTTCCTGGTTCATTTTCGAGGACCTCATGGGAAAAACTGCGCCTCTTTCGCAGTCGGAATCGGTCGCGGGTCGGCCCGGTCGGCCCAGGCGCTGCCGGCCTTGGCGGAGATCCTGGCGGCTGGCCCGGAGGCCGCTGCTTTGGCCGCGACGCTTCTTGGGTCTGGGTTCGATGCCGGCGCTTGAGCCCGCACAAATCGAGGGAGGGAGGGGGGGGCAACGCAGAGGATCCTTGGATGATCTCAGATGGGCATGTTCGGCACTTGTACTGTATGTTGTTGTTTTTTTTTGGGGAGGGGAAGGCAGGCAAGTTGGCGCAACTCCATGATACTCCATGTTGCCACGTTGGAAGACTCGCACGTTGCAGGGCCCTGACACCCTCAAAAGGGGTCAAGCGTGTGACCACTCATTGGACGTATACGTGTGAACTCATGTGGCCACCGGGCTGGTTAGTGTCCAGCGAACCTTTGCATGCGTGACTGGCACGAGACCAGTCGCCTAAGCCTCGTGTGCGTCCATGGACGCGGGGGGATGTGGTACCTAGGTCCCTTCAAGAGAAAACGGAGGTTTCTTCCGTCAGGACACCAAGAAACCATTGTTTGGGAAATCCAGCGTGTTTCTGCCACCCCACCTTGGATTTGTCACGGACATAGGGCACTTATGCTTTGGAGGGGAAGGATGTTCCAAGTTTGGACAAACATCAGGTGAGCCTTAGTTGGAAGTGTTGAACTTCTGGTTCTTGTGCTTCTAAATGGGAAACCACCCCTAGCCTCCAAACCAATCCAATCCACCGACAAAGATGAAGACGTTGAGCCGCACCATGCACCTTGAGGTCTACCGCCACCACGAGATCCGTTGGCTATAGACCTGGCGGCGAGCGGCGAGCGGCGAGCCGAGGCAAGCGGTTGGGCTCGGGTGCTCGCGCCGAGCGGTTGGGAGCCTTCACCCTGTTGCCGGTTGGGGCGGTTTGCGGCATACGAATTAAATAGTAGTCGCAAGCGGGCCACGGAAATCCAAGTGTCCTTTCATGAGTGGGGTCACGACCCTGCAGACATTACCATTTTTCCCCAACTTGTTGGTGTTCTCACCAACCGTGGTGTTCCAAGCAACCAATAGGGGGACATATAGAGACCCTCTACAACCAGCTTATTTTACCCTTTCAGGGTCCCACACAGCAGTGGGATGCGGTCGAACGGTCGAACAGAAACGATCAGCGGGCTGGTCCTCGCCGTGAAGGTTTTCTTTCGAAGGGATGGAACTATAAAAAAAGCTAACACAGCATAATGATACAAGGCAACAATTGCAGTATGTTGATCACAATGATCTAACAGTCTATAAGTGGCACTCTTTTTTGGCACCCTTCCAACAAATATGGATGACAACCGGTGCTGTTTACGGCTCAGGCGTCCCGTTGTTGCCGTTCTCTCGCGGCATGCCGTGACTGAGCTTTGCCAGGACGCGGAGTGTGAATGCGCACGGGCGGCTCGGCAGGCCGGTGTTCCTCGTCAGTGAAGGGTCGACGTTGTGTCAAACAACCCCCATAGTGTTTCCCCGGTTTCCGTTTGAAGATCCAAGAGTGCTTCCAGGATATTTGGCCGCAGCACCTTTTTCTTTCATACGAGTTTGGTTTTTGGTGCCATTTGGCTTCTTTGGCACAACTTGGTGATTGCTTGTGGCCGGGGCCTGACAGCTTTGCTTTCATTCGCTCTCACAGGGGCCATTGGCATGAGCGCCGTCAAACAATTCCGTGCTTGTTCGATTCCGTGCAAGCTGCACTTTCGTGGTCAATACAGTTTTGCGGGCAAAATTAGGGTTCTTCCAAGGACACGGTTGATTTCCTCGATACTGACTTCGATGCATCTTTGAGCTTAACACCACTAGGCTGTTTTGCTCACTTGGAGTGCACTGGCTGGCACCAGCATGTTCGTATTTTGCTCGGAGTGATGAACCAAGCCCTCTGGGACGGGCCTGAATTTCTTCAAGGGGAAACAAGTTGTTTTGACTCAGTGAATCTCCCACGAACGTGGCTTGATGCATCTTCGGCCCCTTTTGGAACTATCAAAAAAGTCGGAAAAACACACACTTTGGCCCCGAACTTCTGGATCGCTAGCAAAAGGCACTGATGGGAAGCTGCCACGTGAGCGCATCTTGGATCGGTGTTGATCAAATATGTGTGTGTGTGTGTCTAGCGGTTTCGTACTTACTTGATTAACAACTCCAGAGGCTGGTTTTTGACCAAACACATGGTAGCATAGGATCCCTTTGACCAGTGATTCCTTTTTGAGGTCATGAATCTGCCCACCCAAGAGCCAAAGCTCAGTGTATAGGATGCGATGTTGTGTGTATCAGACTTTCTCTTGGTTTGGTATAGACACGTATCGTGAGAAGGTCAGAGCTACGGCCATGTCAAACGAAGCAAACACAAATTCTTCATGAGCCAGAAGCCCCGCGGTCATTTTCGGAGGACCCCACCCGGCCTCAAGGCTTCCAGTTGCAGGCACGCAGGGTGCGCAGTTTGGGCCGGGGCCCCTGGCGCACAAGCGCTGAGCTGAGGGACACAGGGTGTCAGTCTCTGGCAAACACCTGGTACTCGGAAGCTGTTTTGTTTCTGAATGTTTGGCTTTTGCAGATCAATGTCACCCTTTGCGGTTGGCTTTTGAGCAGATTTCAGCATGACCAGTCTCAGAAGTCAAGTGCACCCTGACTTTGGATTCGGCTTTTAGCAGCTTTCGGCTTCAAACGTCTCAGAAGTTTCCGCTTTTTCGCCTCTCACAGCGTCCCAAGCCATGGCCCCCTCGGAGCTCGTGTGGCAGGCGGCGGACTGGCGCGGCTTCCGCTCCACGGCGCCGTGGCTGGCCAGCGGCGCCGGCGGCCTGGAGCTGCCCATCCAGGCGCCCTGGGCTGCCCTCCGCGAGCTGCGGCCTGGGGCGGCGCCGAGGCCCGTGGCGCTCGTCGTCTTCGACGCGGACGGCGGCCGCGGGGTCGTCGAGCAGCTTCCGAGCGGCCGAGTGCAGGAGCACGAGCTCCCGGGCGGCGGCGGCGCGGTGCGGCTGCGCTGGGAGAGGGCCGCGGGGCGGTGGAAGCTGTGGGCGGAGGCGGGCGGGGAGAGGCTGGTGCTGGAGGCGACCTTCGAAAGCCCCGAGCCGCAGTTGGAGTTGCGCGCGCCTTCGATGTATGTGGACTCCTTGCATTTCTCCTTGCTTCCCCCGCCTGGGCCTGGAACATTGCAGAGCCCGCCGCCCGCCCACGCGCAACTCCAAGCCCGAATCGACCAGCTCACGGCGGAGCTTGAGACGGAGAAGCTGCAGAAGGCGGAGATCCAGCAGCATTTGGACGAGTCCAAGCGCCGCTATGAGCTGCTGACGCAGGAGAAGGAAGAGGAAACACAGAAAGTCGAGTCCGCGCAGCATGAGATCAAGGCTTTGCAGCAGAGGCTTGAATTGCTGATGGAAGAGCTTGAGACGGAGAAGCAGCAGGCGGAGATCACGGAGAACTTGCAGAAGCAGCCGGACGAGCTGGCGCAGCAGAAGGCAGAGGAGATGAAGCAAGTCCAAGATTTGCAGCAGAAGAATGAGACTCTGCAGCAGAGGATTGCTTTGCTGACCCAGAAGGCGCAGAAGTCAAAGATGACGAAGTGCATCTTGCAGCTGAAGGAGCAGTGCGATGCCTTCTTGGCACCCCAGCTGGAGTTGAGTTTTAAGAAAACAGGTATAGTCACTGTGGTCGTCAATGAGCCGTGTTTTCTCTCAAAATGACATGTTTTGATGGGATCGTTGCCTTGAGCTTGGGGTTTCTGAAAGTGCCATCAATTCTGAAACTCTTTAGGTTTTCCGTTGAATTGGAATGTCTTTGCTGGCGCACCTACCCCAGGGGCGCCTAGCTTCCGAGGATGTGACTGTGATGTTTCAGTTGATTTTGCCAAGGCCTTCAGCCGCTCCGACTCCAACGATCCTCAAGCTGAGGAAGGTCCAGGCCTGTGAATTTCCAAACATTCTGGCATATTGAAACTAGTTGAAATGTGTCCAGAGCAAGCGTCAAAGGGTTCGCGCAGTCACTTGAGCACGACTCAGGTGCAACCCCGGCTTCCGAAGATGCGGTGGACTCATTCACTCTTGTCGGTGATCAGTCAGACATGTACTCGGATACCAGCAGCCGCTCGGCCAAGTGCTTTTTGCCGAACACGGTTTTGCACGGCGTGGACGGCCACTTGCTGCGAGTGGAGAAGTTGAAGCTGGGAGACCGGGTGCGCCTGATGGACCAGACCGAAGCGTCAGTGGTGGGCATGTACATGCACCAGGCCAAGAAGAAGCCTCACGACTTGGTTGACCTCACAACGCGCCAATCGCGGTCCACCGTGTCGAAATCCCACCGCGTGGCAGTTCCTGCGGAAGGGTCCGAAGGCACACATCAGATTGGGCACGTTGACGCGGAAGGCGGGATCATATTGACTTTGCTCTAAAGTGTATAGAAAGCATCCGTGCAAAGATGCATGCTACCGCCTTAGCTCTCACTGAAAGTCTGGGTTCCCCTTGAGGAACTGGCTTTGGTGGCTTCAACCAATTTAACCATTCTCTCTGCGTCGAAGTGCAGGTCAACTCCTGGCCACGTTAGGATGATCCACGCCTGGTTTAGAAAGTTACGGTAAGCAAGGCAGAATGAGGCCATATTAGTGTAGGCTTGGCTACGCTTTGGTTGGAGCCTTACCCTTTGACTCGGGAAATGAGAGTTGCCCCCCAAACCAACAAAAGTCAAACGTGCTGCAAAAATCGAAGAGTGACCATCAATTTGATAGCCATCTTATGCTCAAAACCGCTAGGTTTTGGTCCTTTGTTTTGGTGCTCAGGCGAAGCTTGCGAGGCTGAGAGTGCGGGCAAGCTGGCCGTGGGCAACGTGGTCTTTGTGGGCTGCAAGCAGCAGAAGTTGACCAAGGTCACCAGCAGAAAGGATGGGATTCACAGTTTCGGGCAGCCCGAAGAGCTGTTTGTCGCAACATGCTCAAACCCAAATGTCAAAGGCTTCTTTGACACTTGCAGTTTTGCATTTGATTGCCAAGTTCTGGTCCGAAGCAATCCCGCATATCCTTTCGTGGAACACACACACACCATGTTGTCGTTCAATTGTTTGTAGGACCCCCTCTGTTTGGTTTGTTCAACTTCAAGGAACCCAGGACTTTATGCAAGTTTCAATGAAGGAAGTGGATTGTTGAGTAGCCTGTTTAGGACTTGTCACTTGGAGCTTGTCTATATATATATATAGAAGTATCTAGGCGCAGGAATGTGGGAGGGGGTTCAGGTGCAGTCGGGCATCTGAATTTTCGGGGAGTGTTTCGAAGGATCTTTTCAAGTGGCTTCCCTTAGCTCAGTATTTCCCAGCCAGGAAGACAAGAAGAAGAGAAACCGTTTCGTTCGCATGTCCGAAACGCGTTCCTTGTAGGAGCACGCGACCTTGTACGAGGTGAGGCTGGATCCCGATGGTCCGCTGGAAATGCTCCAACTTCCGAGTTTCGGCCTGGTGACCTTCGGTTCGCTCGCTGCTCGGTCCAGTGCCCCCAGCGCCATGGTGAACATGGGCAGCGTAGCCGGGTTGGAGCCGGCGGATGCAGAGATGCCTGGCAGCGAAGCTGAGGGCTAGATTTCGAGATTTGATTTGGATCCTTGAGCTGTACAGAGCGGGTGTTGGCCATGGAATAACTCATAACTCCGTCAAACTGATGCTCCATAGGAAGCGTCTTGTTTTGCTTTGCCGGCGCCCCAAGCATGGATCCAGAATTCTGTTGGCCAGGGAATGACGGCTCCCGTTCCGTGTTGACTTCAGTGAAGTGTTTCCAACCCAGCGGGAATCAAAGTCTGCGATGGCCAGCTGGTTTTTTGAAAGCTGCCGAAGCGCCGCAATGATGCCAGAGAGAGATACAAAGGGCATCAAAGGGCGCCGCGTGCAAATCCAAAGCCGGGTAGACGAGTGCAAACCAAGGGGAGCCCTTGTGTGCTTTTCGTCGCCGGCAACCCTGGAACGACTCCGAACTAATAACCCAGCCTATCTTGGCAAGGACCGCGAAGCTGTCAGCAGTTGATTTTAGTGGCAAATCAAAGTCCATGGGGGAGTTCTCGGACAATTTACTCGTTCGGAAGCGAGTTATTTGGGTCAGAAAAGTCCCCTTGCCCCCCCGCCCCGATGCCTCCGAGGCCGGGCTGCGTCGCGGCACACGTGTAGTGCCCCGATGGAAGGCGAAGCCGAAAACATCGATGGGGTGGGCGAGGTGGTCGAGGGCAAGACGCCCTGTCCTTTTCCCTTGGAAAGGATGTTTCCCTTTAAAATCAGTCAGCAGCAAAGGGTTCTGTTTTTCCTCATCGCGACTAACCGCTTATTCGGTTTGTTTTTTCATCTTGAGGCAAACTTGAATGGATTTCGTTTGAGCCAATGTCAGGGTTGCTCGGAACCTCAAAGCAATGACCACGTTCTGGCAATGAGTCCTTTCTGTTATCTCTTCCAGGCGTCAAACTTCTACCCTCCCACAAGCATCATGTAAGCAGTTCTAAGCAGGTCACTCTTCAAGAAATGAAACCCATGGCGCGAAAAGCTGACATGGCACACCGTGAGACCTTTGTGGTAGATGGGTGTCGAGACCGATCTTCTCTTCACTTTGCCAGGAATGATACATGCGCAGTGTCGTTGTTAGCTGTTTTTGAAGGTCTTGGCTCTTTGGAAGGTGCACGGAGAAGTGTGAACGTTACATTTTAGTTTTGGTGGGCCAAAGTTGAGGGAAGGCGTGTTGATACCCAAGTCCGCCAAGAAAACTTGGGGTGAATCTTTGGCCTTTTGTGCGCGAGGTTCCAAGGAAAAATGTGTTTTTTAGCATTGACTTAGTTGGTCTTTGGTTCGACTGAACTAGTCTTCTGAAGAACTCAGGGGACGAACTAAGAGTTCACTTTTGGCAAAAAAGGGTCAAGGAACAAGCCAGGCTTTGCGACGCTGACGTGGCCCCCTTGTGTGGTGCCCTGCGGGATTTTCTCACGCAGAAGTTTGCTCCCTTGGCCATCCATGGAGAACGGATGCACGGAGATTCCCAAAGCATGATTTCATGCAACAATATTACATGGGGGGCAGGAGGACGTTGTTGGATTTGGGGCCCGGTTTTCGGCGATCAACCGGGTGACCATCGGAAAGCCTCCGATTTGGACTTTCGTGTGGGGCGAGGGGGATGCCAAGCATTGCCAAACTGCATCACTCGCTGGATTCCAACCTACCCTTGTCCAACCCGTTTTTGTTTGGTGGGTTCTCGATTGTGTTCGGCTGTTCTTCCTGGGTCAGTTTTTGCAGTTTGCTCCATGCTAGCCGTAGGTGCAAGGGGAAATGGGGGCAGGGGTACACGGCGCTTTCGGGGTTCACGAGTTTTGGAGGGTATGTCTCCAGACTGCATGCGTGGCAGGAAGAGACGGCGCCCTTCTTCGTTCCCCAAAGAAAACCAAACGCAAACCACCCTCCTCTCCCCTCCTCTCCCGTCCCCTCCCCTTCCCTCCCCCTCGCCTGGTCAGTACTTCCATTTGCTTAAGAATATTTTTATATTTTCCCCTGTTGGTGTTAAAGGGAATCTATCACTACGTGACATTTTTCCCAACAGCTGAAAGCTTTGGGGTCTCAGCCCAGATAGGCTCCGGGGTGGTCCGGGGTGGCCCGGAGGAAAGGTTCCACCAGGGTTCCACCAGGGTTCCACCAGGGTTCCACCAGGGTTCCACGAGGTTCTGCGAGACCGCGTGCTGTTCGGAATATGACCTGAGCTTATTTTTTTTATATTTTTCCAGGGGTCGTAACCAAATGTGCAACGTCCAAAATCTCCGTCTACATGTTTATCATGCAGGGACTACGTCATATCGACCCGTGGCGTAAGCAAAACCTGCACGGGCTTAAGGCGGCGTAAGCAACTGTCGAAGAAAAAAAACATGTCGCGCAAGCATTCCACGTAAGCTATTGTTCAGTCATGTTGTTTGGAATATCCTATGTGTTTCTTCAGTCATGTTGTTTGTCATATCCATGTGTTTCTCATTAGTCATGTGCTTGTCATATCTACTCATTGGGCCTTGTAAAGCAGTATTGTCCTTTGCTACTACACAACGCAAAACTAGGGAATGTTTGGGCGTTTTCCGCGTAATGCTCGCGTAAGCTTTGCGTAAGCCCCCGCGTAAGCCCCAGCTGCGTTTCTGAGTAGTAGCCTTGCCGGCTTTGAAAAGCCCTTCCTAGACCTGCCATTGTCCAGCTCTGCCGAGCTCATTGTCCAGCTCTGCCGCACGGTGCTGCCTTGCTCCACAAGGCAGCGCCATCGCGAGAAAGCAGGACTCCGCCAAACGAGAAGCTAGGATACTTGCAATTGGAGACGACGCTTCTACGATAAGCCCCGCTCTTGGGAGCTGGAAGGGCCCAAAGCCGGAGACGACAATGCGTTGACTCGCAAGTTCGCTGCAATGAAGCTGTTCTTCCTCCTCTTCATCTTCCTCCACGGCTCGTCATCTGCGTGAAAGGCAAAAGTGCTCGCGTAAGCCGCCTTCCACGAAATTGCATTCGGTCTCTCTGGCGTAAGGGCTGCGTAAGGCCTACTTGAAGCCCATGTGCCGCGTAAGCGAAAGCACGGTGCGCGTAAGGCTGCGTAAGGAAGCGGCGTAAGGAGAGGGATGCAACATAGGGAATCACGACACGTTTTGGACATGGCTCAAATGGAAGAGTAGATCGAGCAATTTGTGCATTGGGACAATCTATGGAAGTCTGGCGTCCCTGTTGGCTGGGTATGTTGCTGTTTTGCTTGGTCACAAATATGCGGGTTGGTCGTCTCCAAGGGAAAACACGGGAAGCTAACCTATCTTTGGGGTTTGTTCCTCTTGGCCATGTGTGCAACCTCGCGCAACTGAGCAGGCTCAATTTGCTGTTGGAAAAGGTACAACCTCTTCACGGGACCCTCTCAGGAATTTGCGCAGGTCAGAACGAGAACGTCCCAATAGCAAACATGACATCGATCTGGCTTGGTCGCATCCAACAAAGGCGAAACAACAGCTCAATATCAAGTATGAGCAAGTAAGAGCTGTCACTAAGCGGCCACATAGAATTAGAAGGACACGTGTTGGGAGACCAATCAGCTGGAGGGGGACCCAAGTTTCAGGAGAAGCCGCTTGCGTGGTCCCGGGCATATATCTGCTAGGCTCCTCATGAGTTTGGCGGTGAATTGCCAATTCTTCGTCGGTGGATTCCAAACCAAGAAGCAGCAGCCACTCCCGTCTCAGCCATCACAAGATAGACCATGTTGTCATGATGCAATTCGGTGTGTTTCAAAACTTGCTGGTGCTCAGTAGGGCATGTGGGAACGAATCCAGGGGTCCCCTTCAAGGAAGTCCAAGAGATGGTGCCCGAGTCCAGACAAGGGATTTTGCTCGAGTGTGCATAGGTACCACCGATCAACACTTCACCACCAGCACCACAGCCACTTGCCAGCATCAAGTGGAACCCAAATGGATCGTCCTGCAAGAGCTTGTTCATGTAGTCGCAGGCGTAGCCCTCTTGCGCTGCCTAGCCAAAATCAAGTTTTGCACGACCTCCCATCCCTTTTCCGGCTGACGCACACCCGCCTGATTGCTCTGAATGTCTTTGACCAGCCGCTTCACGTCCATTGTTTTGCCAAAGGAACGGACCCAACAACTTGGCATGAGACCTGGAACGGCAATGGCTAAGCCCGGTTTAGTTCCGAATCTGCCTTGGACTTCCGAAAGCAATATTTGAGCGTCACCTTTTAGTTTGGTCAGCTTGGTTTCATTGCCCAGGTGTCGGTTTAGTGTTCTATGCGTGTTTAGGTTCATGAGTGGCCCTTTTCGACGAGAAGCCCCTGTAACTGCTACAAATTCTCCAGAAAAAGGCCCCGACCCCGCGAGAAGAAGGAGCCCTTTGTGGAGAAGCAGGGGCCCAAAGCTGGGCGCACACCAAAGAAGCTCCGGTCCAATAACTGTGGGGAAGGAATGCTCGCCAAAAATATGTTTCGTAGTCCAAACGCATGATTCCACGTTGACAAAACACCATCTCCCAGGAAGGATATTGACTCTGATTCGTATTGTTTGAGGACCTTCAATTGGAGAGCAGCCACGGTGCGTCCTTCAAGAACGAGAAACATGGAGTTCAGGCTGAGGCCGAGATCCTGGCTGCTTCTGAGACCGCGTTTTTTTTTGGTGGGCCTTTTGAACGAGGGGGAGCAACGCAGAGGGCCTGAAGATGGTGAGAGACTTGATTGTTGTTGGGTTGCACTTTAGACTTTAACTTTTTGGTTGAGTGAAGGGTTTTCCGTTGCACCCACAAAAAGTTTTGCAGAGGGGTCAACAGCAACCAAGTCGTCAGATGGGTATGTCTTTGGCACTTTTACCCTTTTGAGATGTTTTCAAGCGAGAAGCCGGCATTTGTTTCTTCGTGTTTTTTTTTTGGGGGGGGTTTAAAAGGAGTCACCAACTTGGTGCAATGTTTGGGATGAAAGCATCATGACCGCTGACACAATGGCTCCCCGTTCGGAGGAGCGTGTTGTTGTTGGGGAAGTGTCGCCAGTTGTTTCTCAAACATCAGGTACCCCTCAGTTGGAGGTCTCCCCTCAGGTCTCCCAGCTCATATTTTAGGGTAGACAGAATCTGAAACTGGTTTGAGTTAGCCCGTTGGGCCGAGCTGACAAAGAAATACACCAGCATGACCCCGGAGAGCGAAAAAACTGGCCGATTATTGCACTCCAGCGCCTCAATGCCGCACCGTCGCAAGCACCTCAAAGAGCAGCCCAAACAGTACCCCCAAAGAGCTCCCCCAAACAGCACTCTAAAACAGCACCTGCGGCAGCACGTCAAACTACACGCCCCCTAGCACCCCACCGTCAATCTAGCAAATCACTTTCCCCTCTGAAGTTAGAACCCCAAGAGCTTTCAGCTCTCTGGGGAAAAACGTCCAGAGGCCATGCTGAAGCTGCTCATCCCGGCTGCTGTTGGCCCGTAAAATTCCGGCGACTCGAAAAAGGCGGCCACGAGGAGCCTGGGCGACTTGGGCCGCGAGAGCCGCGTTTTAACAGCACGGAACTGGGCGGTCCCCGGCCCTTCGGTTTCTTAGGGTCGGCGTTTTGGTCGGTTTAGCGGGGGGATTTCCATTGAAAGCCCACGAACAAGTTTTTCGTCGGACGGCCTAGATTTGGAAGGGGAGAAGGGGGTTTGTGTGCCGCCATGGGCAGCAGACAAGCCCAACCAAGCTCTGCACACACCGGCAATCGTTAAGAGGACACTCACTGAATGAGTTGGCCTTTCCAGTGATGTTCTCAGCAAACACTAGGGGGACAAGGCTATCTGATCCTTTACTTTTTTGGTCTAGTATTGGTCCAACAACAGCCGTCGGAGGGCGGAGAACAAATGGAAGGGCAGGGTGGTCCTTTTCAAATGACCTTCTTGGCAAGATGTTTTGGGCCTGCTAAAAATGGGTGACGGCCTCCTCTCAGGTATGAATCCAAAACTGGGATATCAAACCAGGCGGGTGTGCCGTTGGGCAATTCAAACAACTTGTACCACTTGTTTGGGTTGGCGTGGTTCCCCTCTTTGTGGGGCCCCATGTTTGAACGAATACATGACACCACAGAAAACCGATTTTTTTTTATTATTATTTGTTTTCTTTATTTTTTTTTTTAAAATGTTTTTCCCGGGGTGCCATTTCTCATGTCCTGATGTTTCCCTTTCCTCTGGCTTCCTTTTTCTCCGCCTGGCGGTGGGCCATCGGGAGAGTGGCTTCCGTGTTCTCATGTCTCTTTTTTCTAAGGGCACCCATGGAAAACACATGTTTGTGGCGATCCATCGGGAGACCATGGAAAACACATGTTTTTTTTCTCCGGGGTCAAGCAGTGGGCCGGTGGCGGTTTTGTTTGGGGCGATCCATCGGGAGAGCCGCTTCCGCTTCAGCGCGCCAGCCGCTTCCGCAGCTGGGCTCTCGAGCGCGCGCCATGAAGCGGCTCATGGACCGGGGTGGCCCCGGCCGGAGGCCGGGCGCCCGACGCGGTGCTTCGTCTTTCTGTCCCTTTTTTTTGGCTCGGTCATTTTTCCTGAGGTTTTTTTGGCGGCTTTTTTTTGTTCTTTTGGGGAGGGGCGAGGGAACCACAAGAAAGCACACCTCCTCCCCTTGTTTTAAGTAAGGGGGGAGTTCCTTTGTTTTGACGCATATCACAAAATTACTCGCCCCCTTCATTTTGCCTTCCCCCCCGGCCTGGTTTTGATCATCGCCTTGTGGCCCATGCATTTTGTGAGATTCCTTGTGGGTAGGATTTGGGTCTGTTGTAAAACAATGAAGCCGGCGTTGGGACCAACACTTCCTGAGTTCTTGGACTTTCTACTCTTTTTTTCCCTGGGCCGGGCCAGAGTAACCCGCACACACAAGAGGTTGGACTTTCAACTTGTCGAGAAGACCAGGTTAGTGATAAACAAAAAGTGACGTGGTTTGGCCAATCCGCTCAGGAAGTGAGTTTTACCTGATGCGAGCATTAGCCTTGGGGGCTTTGTTGTGAGATTCCGGAAGGGGCGGCGTTTAGAGGGGCACACATACCCAGTTGCCCAGTGGATTCCGCCCTCTTTTCCGTTTTTTTTTTTTTTTTTTTTCGGGGAAGGGTTCACCTTTAAAGTCAACCAACCAAACAAGGGGATGCCCTCATGATCGATCCCAGGAAGCTGGGCGATGCTCAGCAGGCGGGGTTCGCGGTTTCGAGTCAGACACGGTGAGGACCGCTTTAAGCTGCGCGGAGGCAAGCAGAGAGTCCCAGGCAGCTCGATTTGAGCTTGTCTTTTTAAAGCTTCAACACCGTCCAAAATGGTTTTTGGTGTCCTTTTGGTGTTCCTCAGAAAAGAAAGGTAGCCTCCAAAAAAGACTCCCATTCAGGGGTTGCAATTCTTAAAAATGCCACCATGCACGGACTGACTCATATTTCTTTGTACATATACTCATTCCTGCTGAGGGCCGGGGGGGCGGGGACGAGCTCACCCATGATGAAGGTCCCTTACGCCCGGTTTCCAGTTGTTGCATTATTAAGGTACTTTGCCGATAAGCCCCTATAGTATTTCCTTGCTGTTTGGTCCAAAGGCTCCTTTTGATGCAAACGACATCTTTTTTGCCTCAGTGCTATTTTGCGGATTTTGCTGTTTTGCGAAACCAGGATGAAGACGAAAAGGCGACATTGCCCGACCCAAAGGCGACATTCCCCGACCAAAAAGCGACATTTGCCGACCACGTTCTGGCAAGATTTTGCAGCAGCACGTTTAAAAGGAAAAGGTTCTTTTTGGAGCAAACGACACTATATTGCTTTTTCAGCAAGCGGCAGAAAAAATGCACACCTGGAGCGTCCATTACTAAAATAATGGTTATTATTATTGTTATTATCATTATGATTCTTATGGTTCGCCGAGATATGGTTGTGGCTCAGGCTTGCGGACCCAGGTGACCGCGGATTTTGGCCGTTCTTCTTTCTACCTGGGGTCTCAGGTAACCGTAAGTTGGCCGCCATATGGAGATGTCTCCCCAGTCTCGAGTTTAAGCCGAGTCGCTCGCAGGACGACATCGCTGGTGGACAAGGCGAGTCGGTGACCTCGGGGTGTGCGCCTGGGCTTTGGGCTTGGGGCGCGACGAATACTCGTACAGACCATAAATTCGAGGCCTAAGAGTTTTGGGATATCAGGGTGTGAATTTCATTAGGGGACCCTTTGGACAGCGTTTAAGGGGATTGGTGTCCACTTGCGAGTTGGTCTCTTAAAAGTCATAGCCATATCATCTAGGTGTTATGTCTATGAAGCGATCTGAACGAATTGGTTTGCGAGCTCACTGGGGGGGTACAATGAGCAGATCCCTATGAGAGGTTGAGAATTTCAGATTGGTTTCAAGCCATACTCCATTTGAGATAGTGTAGAGTGTTGGTCTGCGAATTCCATTCAGAACTAAACCACATTGATAATCAGCACCGCGTTTGAAACCCGAGCTGAGTGATCATGGTCAAGATCGTCATGTCCTGCCCGGTGGTTCCATTTCCCAAGCTAGCCAATGGAACCGCCCATTGAAGACTGATTGCCTGCCTTCGGCTAGCTTGCCTGTGGTTGATCCACTGGAGGTAGGGTTATCGCTCTTGCTACACCGCTTGAAGGTTGGTCGAATGTTAGTTTGGTGTTGGTCCGATCCGCTTTCCTTCGTTCCCCTTTGGGGGAACAGAGGCCTCTTGAGCATTTTTATGAGGTCTCTTTGGCAACTGGTCTGATGGCTTGAACCTCAGGTCCTGATAAAAGGAAAAACAGGGAAAACAACTCCGAAACAGACCCCAACAAAACAAAAACGATGAATTATCCCGCGATCCCAGCTGTGGATGGGATGTGTTTTTTTCTTTCTTCCTTTTTTGGAGGTTTGGTCGCACTTTTCCAACCAACGACAAGTGGGTTTTTCAGCAGCGAAGACATTTCGCGCGCGCGCGCGGCAGGCGCTGTCACAGGCCGAGAGCTCGGCCAGCCGGAGGCGCGTTTGGCGGTCGGGCAGTGGTGGGGGGGGGGGGGGGTAGGCTGAAGGCGGAGGTGTTTTGGGTCCAAGAGGAGGGTAACCCAGGCGGGGGTTCCCCTATTTTCTGGGGATTTTTTCCGGTTTTTCGGCGTATTTTTTTCTAGTTAGACCAGCAAGGAAGCAAGCAAGGGGTTAGCCGTAACCGAGGGCTTGCTAGCAAGCAAGCAAGCAAGTAGGCAAAGCAAGGAAGCAAGCAAGCCAGCAAGCAAGCAAGCAAGCAAGCAAGCAAGCAAGCAAGCAAGCAAGCAAGCAAGCAAGCAAGCAAGCATGCATGCAAGCAAACATTTTTTAAGCAAGCAAGCAAGCAAGCATGCAAGTGTGCAAGCAAGCAAACAAGGAAGCAAGCCAGCAAGCAAGCAAGCAAGCAAGCAAGCAAGCATGCATGCATGCAAGCAAACATTTTTGTTTGTGTCGCTTGGCGTTGCGAGGGCTGCGCTTGGTAGGAATGTGCGGAGAGTAGAGTAGGTGGACATGACCGGAGCTGACGTCACACTGTTTCTTCACGCATGGTCACGAAAGCCATGCTTCATACGCGTGGCCTGTCCTTCTTTCTTCGAACACAAATGGTGTTACATACGCGAAGAATTGCGCTTTAAACGTCTCAACAGCCCAACCCAACAGCCAACAGCCCAACAGCCCAGTAGCCCAACAACCTAGTGGCCCAACAACCCAAGACTTACTCCCAGCAGCAGAAGTGGAACCCAGCAGTCAATCACCCCCAAGTCAAACAACCCTGAAAGAGCCCAACAGGTCAGCAAAACAATACCAAAGAACCCAACCAACAGCCCAGCAGCGCAACAACCCAGCAAAACCAAGAACCCAACCAACAGCCCAACAGCCAGCAGCCCAACACCACCAGCTCCCCGGTCAGCCCCAGCAGCACAAGCCCTAAACCCTAAACCCAGCAAGCCTAATAGGCAGACCTAACAGTCGACAGCCCACCAGCCCAACAGCCCAACCCAACAGCCCAACAGCTTACCCAACAGCCATTAGCCCACCAGCCAAACAACAGCCCCAGCCCAACAGCCAAAAGCAACAACAGCCCAACAACTCAGTAGCCCAGCAACCCAAGAACAACTTAACCCAATTACAAACATGAATCCCAGCAGCAGAAATAGAACCCAACTGTCAAACAAACTTCCAGCCCACCAGCCCAACAGCCCAACAGCCAAGCAGCAAAAAGCAACAACAGCTCAACAACTCAGTAAAACAACCCAGCAGCCTAACAACGCAAGAACAACCCAACCCGACCACAAACCTTAATCCCAGCAGTAGACATGAACCCAGCAGTTGACCAGAACCCTAAACCCTAAACCCAGCAAGCCTAACAAGCAGACCCAACAGTCAAACCTAAACCCAACAACAGCCCAGCAGCAAAAAGCGACAACAGCCCAACAACCCAGTAGCCCAACAGCCCAAGAACAACCTAATCCAACCACAAACCTTGCTCCCAGCAGCACTAGTAGAACCCGACACAGTCAAACAACCCTGACAGCGCAACAGCCCAGTAGCCCAACAACCCAGTAGCCCAACAAGCCAAGAACAGCCTAACCCAACCACAAACCTTGCTCCCAGCAGCACTAGTAGAACCCAAAAGTCAAACACCCAGTAGCCCAACAACCCAACAACAACCAAACCCAAACCTTAAACCTTAAACCCAACAACAGCCCAGCAGCCAAAAGCAACAACAGCCCAACACCCCAGTAGCCCAGCAACCCAAGAACAACCGAACCCAACCACAAACCTAGCTCCCAGCAGCGCTAGTAGAACCCAAAGTCAAACAACCCTGACAGCCCAACAGCCCAGTAGCCCAACAACCCCGTGGCGCAACAACCCAACCTCTTCCCAGCAGCAGAAGTTGAACCCAGCAGTCAAACAACCCTGACAGCCCCAACAGAGCGCCCAGAAGTCGAACAACCCTGAAAGAGCCCAGCAGGTCAGCAAAAAAATACCAAAGAACCCTAAACCCTAAACCCAGCAAGCCTAACAGGCAGACCTAACAGTCGGACAACTCTGACAGCCCACCAGCCCAACAGCCCAACCCAACAGCCCAACAGCTTAAAAACCCTGCCCAGCAGCTCAACAACCCAACAGCCCAACAGCCCAGTAGCCCAACAGCCCACCAGCCCAACAACAGCCCCAGCCCAACAGCAAAAAGCAACAACAGCCCAACAACTCAGTAGCCTAGCAACCCAAGAACAACTTGACCCAATTACAAACATGAATCCCTGCAGCAGAAATAGAACCCAACTGTCAAACAACCTTCCAGCCCACCAGCCCAACAACCCAACAGCCAAACAGCAAAAAGCAACAACAGCCCAACAACCCAGTAAAACAACCCAGCAGCCTAACAACGCAAGAACAAACCCAACCCGACCACAAACTGGAAAAATACACCCAAAAACTGGAAAACAATTCCGCGAAACAGAAAACCACCCCCAGGCGGTTCCAGGTATAGAAATGGTTGGTGAGGGTTGGTTGGGGCCGGTTGCCTAGTTTTGTTTGAGGGGAAGTGTGTTATTTTTTCTGAGGCTTGATACTCATCAGGGTAAGCCGCGATAAAGGCGGTTTGGATTGGTCTGGGGGGGTTGAGTTTTTGCTTCTCGTGCCCGAGAAGGAGAGAGTTGCCGCACCCCAGTGGGCCAACCAGGCAAACCGGATGTTTTTGCCATGTTTTGCCCTTCAAAGTGAGAGGGTTGTATCCCGACTATGGGACCGTTGGATATGTTGGGAATGGGGTTGTGGGGTATTTCAAATCAAAACAAGGCCTGCTTGACGTTATTTTGGTGTGGTGTGAGTGGTGCGTCATGACTTCGCACTTTGTAGCAAAAAAACCTTTTCAGCATTGCCCCTACAGCGCTACTCACTTTTGTGGGGCGGAACTCATTCGTTTGAGCCTTGCATTGGGCAGAAGCTGACACCGGAAGCTGGCAGTGGCTCGCTTTTTCAAGGGTAAGTACCCGTTTACGGTTGGTTTAAATGGTAACCAACAAGGACATCGACATTCTGGCGGCCCCCTGTTTTGCCACACACTTAATGCTGGTAATTACAATGCCTGTTGACATACTCTTGGATCGACGCAAGCCGTTTCCACCCCACATGGGAGCACACCATGTCATGCCCAAGTTCGGGGGAGGGGGGGCTTCAACCACATGGTTCAGCCTCAGATGCTAAACCTGCAGGAAGGTGGGTGAAAGGCAGGGGCATCAGGCAGCTTCTTAGGACCAATCAACCAAATACATAAATCTGGCTTCTTTCAGCCTCAGATGCTAAACCAGTTGGCATAAACCCAGAGTACTCAGATGCCCCTGGCTGCATTAACATAAACCCCTCAGCTTCTTAGATCCTAGCCAGGGGCATCCGTCACCCGTCACCCCCTCGCTCGCTCGCGCTCGGCTCGTAGGCCCTCGATCTCCCTGCGGCTCCACGTGCCGCGGCTGTCCAACAGCAGCAATGAGCCGCTGCGGGACGCGGCCTCGGGCCACCTGGCCGGGACGCCCGGGGTAGGGTGGGGGTGGGGAGGTGGGGTGGGTGGTTGGGGGGGGGGGTTGGGGCAGGGGTTGGGGGGGGGGGTTGGGGGGGGGGGTTGGGGGGGGGGGTTGGGGGTTGTGGGGAGGGAGGGGGGGGGATAAGGGCGAATTTGTGAGTGCGACATTGAGGGAGGTGCAACTTGCTTTTGGAGGAGGGAGGGGAGGCAGGGTTGGGGGTCCTTGGGGGCGCAGTAGCAAGCACCCTTCAGGGATTCCATTTCGATCTCCCCCCTTGCCATCTTCATGTTAGCGATTGAGAGGGTCACAGTTCCCTTTACCTGGCCTCAAGCTGCAAGCCACTTAACTAACCCTTGGGCATTCTTACCCCTAGGCTATACCTCGTGATGCGAGCCCCCCCCCCCCTGCAAGCACTGAAGTAAAGTGATAGTTTGTGTGCTTTTGACACTGTGTGCGTTTGTGTTTTTTTTTTTTTTTTTTTTTTTTTTTTTTTGCGGGGTACTGTAGGGTCTAGAGATGTCTAGAGTCTAGAGTCCAGAGTCGTGGCGTACAAAACCACAACCACGGCCAAAAACGTGAGAAACAAAGCCCCATGATGTGAGAAATAATGGCTGATTTTGTTTAGGCTCAATATCAACGTGGGGTGGCATTGTCGCACCAGCGAGCCACGATTTCGAGCTGAATTTTCGGCTGTAAGGCACATGCTGCAGCCGACCTTTTTCGTGGTATTGATCTTTCGGGGTTGTCCAGGCAGTTCCAGTACGTACCTACCCAACATTGACACATGAAACCCAACTGTGGAAAAGTCTTAGGCATCCACGTAGGGTGTGTGGGCCAGCGGCAAAATGGCAGCACCCCTCCGCTTCAGGCTGCCCCTCCCCCAGGCGGTTGTCACTTGAATTCCGGCCCGGTGAGTTGGACTAAAGCCTCAGCTTTTCCTGGGGTTGCCTTGCCAGGATTAAGCCTTGGTGGCACCTGGTTCCACAGCTTCTGGACACAAAACCGGCGCCAAAACCTCAACGCGAAGCTTTGGAGCCCACTGAGATGATAGGTGCCATGGTCATGAATCATTTTAGGCGGTTTCGCCAACCAGCAAAATACCAGAGGCCAGATGCAGGGATCTGTGACCCTATAGGACTCTTCAGAGTTTGGACAGATCCCCTACTACAAAGCAAGGTCTTAGGGGCATGTGTGGACAGCATTTGGTTTTACATATGAAACATACTTCTTCTTTTTTATGAGGGGTTAACATGATACCATGATACCCCCAAACCTTCCTGAGTGCTTGGTGGCGCATGGCAGGGTCTTTCTTTGGCGACCCCACTTCACGTCGGCCCTGAACTCGGCTCAGGATGGCAAGCGTTCTTTGGCACCGGGGGAGACGTGGCAGCTGCCTCGGTTTCTCGGTTTCTCGGTTTCGATCCGCGGGCTTGCCGCGGCTTCCTGGCGGTCGGCAAGTGAGGGACTTGTGGGTCGAGGCAACACCGGCCGGTTTCCGCACAAAACATATGGTACTAAGTAGTCATACAGAAGTCAGAAGCCGAAGTTGGCCTTGAACCTATAGCACTTTTATTGACTTTGATCCTTGTAACATCGTGGGGCCAGGTTTCTGGCCAGTAACCCATCCATTTGGGCCAAGGTTGTCAACGGCCCAACATCTCCTGGGAACATGCTGCCAATCTCGGGGGATCTGTCAGGATGGGCGAGCTTGAATCCGCCATGCTGCGACCCGGCTTCGTTCGGGTAAGATCTCGCCTTGGGGGCCCCAACTGGTTGCCCTCCAATTCGCAGACTCGTGTCTATGCTTTATGTTCCACATGGAACATCCCTCGGCCATTGTGGAGGCAATGAAAAGACATGGCTGTGGGTCAAAACCGTTTTGGGATCTCATTTTGGGGTAGGTGAATTCACCACCCATGTTAGAACCTATTTTAGTGGTTGGATCGGGATGTTCACTGGGGGCTAAGCGGGCTTTTGACCCATGGCCACATAAGCCAAAACCGAGAACCTTGCGAAGCACGCCCCGCGTTTCGGCGGCTGAGGATGGTGCCGTCCACTTACATGGTGCCGCGTAAGGCGGGGCCCGATCGGAGCCTTCTTTTGGTACACTTCATTATTTTACCATGATCAAAGTCACCCCCCAAGTGGTGGGGTAAAGGGAACAACCACATTTACTGACTTTGACAACCACAAGAAACAGTTCACATAATGGCCCCAGTTTGGGGTCGCCGAGCTGAAGCCACAAGGAGAGACCCCGGAAGTCGGTAAATCTCCTTTTGGGGTTGGTTTGAAGGAAAGCGAACAGCCCGTTTCAGCATCCTCTATGGTTTCCTTGGCAAAATCCCCTTCCGGCTCATTCCCCAAACCTGGGTCAATCAGCAAGCCGAAAAGAAGAAACCAACACTTGTGTTGGGGATACAAACCCCGTCGGTCCCCAAGTCTTGTGTACTTTGCTCACATTTTTGCCACTTTGAAGATGGATTTGGGTACCTCAAGTGGTAGTTGATTCCTTTTGGAGACTCCACCGCTTACATTTGAGTACTTGTGGTACTTGTGGGTAATGGGAAGCCAGTATTGATCAAGCTCCTCGATTCATCGCATCTGAAAAACACGGGGGTCTTCAGGTTGCACGCCCAGGCGCCATAAGACTCATGACCCCCCCAATATGGGTATGTTCTAAAATATATGACCCCCCAAACTGTCTTTTGCTTCCCGTTAAACCAACCTTGAAATTGGTACCGAGCAGAAGAAGACGAGCCACCAAGCCTAACTTGACCCAATGACACCCTTGTATTTAGTATTGCCACTCTTAGTATAGCCAAGACTTGCTCTCTGATTCCCAGTTAAGAAAAGATAGCCAAGACTCATAACTTAGTTTTGTCCAATTGAAATTGAGTATTGCCAAGCTCCCAAGATCTTCCGAAACATCTCCACAAGGAGCCGGCTGAAACCGAGGACACGATGTCCGGAAGTCCAATGCGGACGGTCAAAGTGGGGCTACATGGGTCCCTCGGTTTTCTTTTTCTTTTTGTTCTTCTTCTTTTTTTTCCGGACCTCCCAAAGCAACAGCTCCATTGCAACGGGGTCTAAGTCGAATTGTCTCACTTCCTGAGTTCATGGACTACGTTTTGGGAAGTCCGCTCAGGAAGTGAGTTGTAATGAACCAATGCACACATGCCATTTCAAGGGTACGGAGCCGCCGAACGGGACCACACCCATGGTGATCTAAAGCTGTTCCCCATTTGACCTTTGGTGGGCTGCTTTCACATGACAAAGCTGTAATTATCGGTTGATTATGCACAAACTCGGGCTTTCCAGAAATTTTATCCCAAACTCAGGTTTCATACCAGAGGTTCATTGCCACGAAAACCCAGATGTTTCGGTGTTTTGTTGTCCCCAGAGCAGGTTGCTCCCCGCAATTTTGTGAAGGACAGGTTTGTTTTGTCCACCTAGGGCAGGTTGATCTCCCCCCCCTCCCACACCCTTTTCCTTCCCCCCCCCCCCTTTCCCCCTTTCCTTCCCCCCCCCAAACTTTGTCGCGGCAGCTTCAACGGCGGCCTTACCACCTCCTTCGAAACAGGTGGTGGTGAAGTGCCTCGAGGAGATGGACTCGGCGGAGCAGCCGGACAAGCCGGGCATGCTCTCCAAGCACACCCTCAGGGCGCGCCTACCGATCCGATCCGATCTTCGATCCGCGATCCGAGCGGATCCGATCCGCGATCGAGTCGAAGGGATTTGGCCGGGTGAGCGGGTGTCAATGCTTCCCTCGTGTTTGGTCTTTTGGTGGTGTTTTGGCGGTGTTCATCCTTGCTGGTAGTGGTGTGTGGGACTTGGCCGAAAAATGCTTGTTTTTTTGTTAGACCGCGTTCCGTGGTTTGGCGTTTGTGGTGTTGCTAGGAACGAGAGCCACATCCATTGGATAAGCTCCGTTGCTGGTGTTCGTTTGTGTTTGTTATTCGTTCTTCTTGCTTTGCATCTTCGGGTATGTGTTCCGCTCATGAAGTCTTCCCTTCAACCGCACCCTGTGGACTTGCTTTGTCAATCGTCGGCAGTGAGGCCTCATCGCTTCCCCATGGTCACGTCCCCACACCAGAGCCCGGTGAAGGGAGACCTCATGGCGTGCCGGGCTATGGGGAGGTGTGTCTTTTCCAGGGTTGGACCCCCCCCAAAAATGGTGGGTTGCCTTCCGGTTACCCTTGAAGCACCAACCCAAAACAGGGTGCCAACTCCAAACAAGACCGAGTCCGCAGAGAAGGTTTTGAGCCGCTTTGGTCCAGTTGGAAGTAGCACTAGACCCAGGAGGAGTTGCGTCTTCACATTGCTTGGCAGTTGTGCAGGCAGAACGAAACCTCCAGGCAAGCTTCGCGAGACAGCAGAACCCTGAAGTCGAACTATGTCGAACCCTCAAGTTTAAATCCAAAGTCTTCGAACGTTCCAAGGGCGAAGCCCGACTTCCGTTTCCGATTTCGCTCGCGCCACCCACCGCTCGCCAGCAAACGGTGGAGCGGTTCAACGGCGTCTTCAACCGCCACGTGAACCGCGAGGACCAGGCGCTGCAAGCCGCGATGTGACACTTTCAACATGGGGTGAGTCTTTACCCGAAACAACAGTTGGTCATGGAGCCTACATGGTCCTTTGTGTGATGCCAAGAGAAAGAGAATTCTGATCCGCCTAAGGGCGCATGGTCAAATTTTTGGTTGGGATGCTCAGGATCACGTGAACCAACTCAGCAACTGCCAAGTGGGTGTGGCTCAAAATTAAACAGGAGGGGCAGACCGCAGGTTTTGGTACCCATGTTTCCACTTACCAGGGCAACCCGTTTTGGAATTCCGGTTTTTTGAGCCACAGCCAAGTGTTGTCCATCCACAGCCCTAGGCTTTCAGCTGCAAAGTCGCCCCATCGCAGGTGGCGGCGGTGATGGACCACTTGGAGCGGCACACGCGGCGGCGCCGCGGGGAGCCCGCGGCCCCGGATGAGTCGACGAGTGGGCGGGTCAGATGGCCACGTGTTGGGAGTCATTGGGTATATAGTATGTGGATTGGGAGTCATTGGCTAAATAGTATGTTAATACTAAGTATATATATATATCTACTTATTATATACTTAATTAGCCTGTTGGGAGTCCACTCAATTGGGTATGTATATATATATATATACAAATGATATTTTTTAATGTAGCCTGAAATTTCAATTCACTATCAAAAGCATGGGGCCCGGATGCGGAGTTCGGTTCGGTCGTCAGCGGTGGGAGGTGGGAGGTGGGGGGTGGGGGGGTGGGGGTCAGAGGCTTGGAGTTTGGACGCGTTGGATGGGAAGAGGAATTAGATGTTTTATAATGAATCCCATGGACCATCACAAGTATATCTATATTGTTCCCATTCTTTGGTTATGACTGGCGTGATATATATATACATATATATATATACATATACATATATATATATATATACATATATATATATATGGATATATAAGAATCATGTATGTATATATGAATCATATATATATATATATACATATGTATGTGTACACATTATAGATAATCTGAGATTCAAGTCACCATGACCTTATATGTGTACATATATACACACATACTCGTTATGGATACCCCGGGACGCAAGTCGCCATTCGAGTACTGGGGCCACCATCGTTTACCTAAGGACTGTGAGATGAGTTATCCATAGAACGAATGGGGTCATACAACCACCATTGTTAACCTAAGGATTCTCATACTTTATATATTTGCTTCGCGCCTTTTTGCAGGCTCAGTGCAATCGGAAGTGTGATGTGAATTCCTCCTCAAGAGTTGTATGTTATTTTCTTTGGGGATGTCATCCACAAGAGAGATCTGGCTACAAGAGACTCTGATGTTGGGCTCCCCTAAAATGTACATTTTAAGGGGGATGCCATGGCCTCCACTCTATGCGATATGTTCCCCACAGGATGGCATCAATTTCTCGTTTTTTTTTGGGGGGGGGAGTCAGGTTGTGCCGCCCTAAGGATCAGAGTCCCCTGAAAGGGACGGCTTGTTTTGAAGTAGAAAGCCCAAGAGGAACCGCCGCAAGATTGGTATGCACTCGTGCAGATGGTCATGGCACCTGAACCGTCATTCCTGGTAATCTCCTTTGGGCGGACCGGAAGCCGTTTTGGGCTTCCTGGAATGAGATTTGAGGCGTGGGCAACTGCAGACATTTATTGTTGTTTGCCTGGGGCCAGTGGGAAGGGAGGAAGCAACTTTGGTGGCCCAAAGTGAATCAATGGAGTCTGGCCGCTGTTGTTGAGTTCTAAAAGACCGCGGAGTTTTGAGTTTTGTATGGAACCGAACGTCACAAGAGCGAACCCTAAAATGAAACCTGCCATGGAAACCTACACAGAAACCTTCCTTTTGCAGGGGAAAGACCCTGTTTGTCCCTACAAAAAGGCAGGGACAAAGCCAGAAAAACGCCGAAACCTTGTCGAATTTCCGAGGGGCCGGGGTTTTTGGGAGCTTGAGGACGGCGCTGAAGGCGGGCTTGCTGGAGTGGGAGCAGACCTCCCGCGTGTGGGGCCTCAATGCCTCAACTGCGCGCCGTTCGCCGGTCGTTCAAGTCGAGTCGGTGGGGTGGGAGGTTTGGCTGGGTCCCCCTGTCTAACCTCTCTTTTGGAGGACCTAGTTGGTATCCTCGGCCATTTTGCCCTGGACTAAAAACGAAGAAGCGCAAGAAGCGCTATGAATCTCACGTGCGGGGGCTGAACGTTGAGAAAGGTGGGCTCGTTTTATTTTTCTGGCTTCCCAGCAGGGAAGGAGTGACCTATATTATATTTTTTAGTGGTGTCCTCTGAGGGCATCCCAAACGATTCGTTTCCACTGGGTGATTTCCTAGCCAATTGTTGGATTACCACTAAGAGGTGTCTGAAAGGTCAGTTTCCACCAGCCTATGGACTGCGTTAGAGTCGAGCATTCAAAGAAAAACCAGGGCCGCGTCCTGAACCAAGGGCCCTGTGCATCCAGGGCAATCCACAAAAGGTAGGTCCGGAAACCTGACAGTTTCTATCTGAGTAATGGGTGGTTGCTTTGGTTGCCTGCAAAAAGTGTGGTAAATGCAGCCTTCGACACCTCCACTTCGGATGCGTTGCCGAGGTCTACGAGCTCTTCAGTGTGCATCTGAATATTTGCGAACGTGCCTGGGCCGAACTGGGCAGTGGGGGTTGCAAATTGGTTGTGCGTGTCTGTGTGTGTGTGTGTCTTGGAGTGACTGGGGATGAGGTTGGTCATGGACTGCTGAATTTGGAACGTTGCAAGTTGCAAGCAATCATGGCTGGTGTTGTGACCTTATTAGCCCCTTAAGGTTCTGTGGAAACACTTGTTGTTTGCAGGACACCTATAAACGCTAAGACCTTTTGCTCGGAAAATGAGCATCAGCTTTCCAGGCAATATCAATGTGTTTGAGTATTGAGGGTTCGGGTACACCAACCTCCATGGCCTTTTTTTTGAAGAGAACCGGCCAACCGGCTCCTTTATTTCCCAACAAGGCAATCACGGCCCACCGTTGGCGGGGGTTTGACCGTGTCACAAATGGCGTTCGGAGTGGGTTGAGTTTTCTGAGACTCGCTTAGTCGGGGTTCCAACCCAACTAAGCGAAGGGCTTTTGCTTTGAGGTTCACTCTTTAGACACTCAACCACCCCTTTCTCATTGAGATTAATCGGGAGTCAGCGTTGGGCAAGAGTGAAACATCAAGCCCGAATCCAAAATTTGCCTTCACTTGGGCAATAGAAGTTTTTTTGACAGGGTCCCGCAATTTCTCTCAATTTTTGAGTTCCTGGGACTTTTCTTTGCCAATGGGAGTGTGGCCGATGGGAGGAAGTCTTTCCCCTGCGCGGATCTGAGGCATTCTTTTCACCATGGACTTCGCGGTGAGAACGCGGTGGCCTAAAGCATTTGACTCGCTTTGAGGGTATGCCTTTTTTTGGGGTGGTGTGAAAGGAGAACCAGAAGAAGGACCGAGGCCATTTTGGGGTCGCCTAAACTTAAACAAATTGACGGCCATTTGTAGCCATGGTAACCACACAAGGGCACAGGTATGGACCACCCTTGCAAGGCTGGTTGGAACGGTTCGGAACAAACAACAAATCACGCGGTTTGTCCGTTTTCGTTTTGCAGGCGAGGAACCCTTGTAAACCGATCACTACCGAGGAGAAAATAGATACTGAAGACGGCCCCCTCTTGCCGGCGATCGGCCCACCCAAGGACCATCTTGTCGCGGGTTTGTTCCACGGCCGCGGCCTCAGCGTGCCAAATTGCAGGGATCGGGGTGCCCCTCGTTTGGCGAAACACATCGACCCACTCAGATGGTTGGTGCCGTATGGGTGTGGCTCAAAATTAAACAGGAGGGGCAAACCGCAGGTTTTGGTACCCATGTTTCCACTTACCAGGGCAACCCATCTTGGTCCAGTTTTTTGAACCACAGCCGTATTGGTGTCGTTGAACATCGCCGAAATGAGGTGCTGCTTTGGAGCAAGTGTTCTCCTGCAGTGATGTGCCTGGGCGCAAGTGTTGTCAACGAGTAAAACACAGCTGGTTCCTCTCATAGTGCTCCCCCCTCCCCATTTTGACAGAGACCCGTTTGCTGTGAGACGCAGCCCGAAAGCACACTCCAGGTGCTGATTTCGTGCATTTTTGTGTCCATCATCGTTTGGATGGCAGGATCCTCAGTCGCTCAGTTTCCAGAGAAAGCCTCCGGCCATGAGCTTTTGATTGGAGAAAGCCTCCGGCCATTGTTCCCAGACACGCAGTGGTGCGTCCTTTTTGGTTTCCCTTTAAAATCAACCACCAAACACCGTTTTTCACCACGGCCACTGGGCTGAGAAAACATGGACATTGGCCGGCATGTCTGGATGTGTGTGTGTGTGGGTGTCAAGATAAGGCACCCCCGGCGAGCTTTGAGCTACCCTCCCTCCAACATGGAAGCCTTTCAGGAACCCACAGCAGCTTTGCTGTTCAGTTGGAGAGGAATTGCTTCATGCCATGCCTTATTCACTCGTCTTGGAAGCCACCCTAGAGAGACAAGGTAATTTTGCCCCACGCTTGGACTCTCGCGGTTGTGGGTGATGGGAACCCAGGAGTCAACTGTCGATTGGGCGGTGCCCATTTGTTGAGTGGATCCGGATCACCTCTGAGAGCGACGCCAAAATCCGATCCAGGTTGACAAATGCAGGGTCAACATCGGGGATTCGAATTTTCCGCTCGCTACCCCGCCAGTTTCCCTGGTCACCTCCCTGTAAACATGCCTCCAGCCACCTTTTTAAGTGAGCTGAGGACCATTCTGTATCACCCGGCAAGACACACCCAGGCTCGCCGCCATTGGCAACCAGCGGTTTTTCATCAGAATTGCAACCTAGCGGACCTAGAGTCGTCAGGGGTTCACAGAGGACCCAGAGGTACAACAAATACCCCGGTGAGGCAACCGAAACCGGGGCTGGGTTGGGGGCTTCCGCTCGCCTCATCTTGCCATCCATTTCGCCAAGTGCCATCGCGCTGCGTTTTCGGCCTAGGTCTCCACGCTCCCTAGCATGCGCTACGTACAAACCGGCCGGGGCCCGAACGTGGCAGGAGACGAGTCGGCGGAGGGAGCTTTCCCGTGGTGCCCCGGGTGGCATGAGCGTGTTTAAGCCATTCGGATAGAGGATTCTTTCGGTTTATATTGAAACAAAGCACGTGTTTAAACCATTCTGATAGTCTTTAGGCTTATATTGCAAGAAACATGTTCCCACAGCACCCCACGTTCGCCCACAACCCGCAAGGAGCGTAATTTTTGTAAGCTTTTCATCCCCGTTTTTGTCAGCTTTTCATACGCCTTTGGTCTGAAGCTGCGAGAGGGGTGCTATTTTTCGCAACATCAAAGCTCACCCTCACCGTAGATGTTCTGTGCTCGAGCTACCCCCCTGTTCCCGGCTTGGGTGTGGGTCAAGACCTTTGTGGACAACAAGGACAAGGCTCAGGTGGCATCCTCATATGCAGCGTTCCACGCTGGCACTTTGAGTGAAATACGGGCTCCTACTAAGTAAAGCTTAGGCTGAGATGTTTTAGGTACTAACACTGACTCTTTAGGTTGGGGGGGTCTCGGGTTTCTGGGGGCGGGCGACACCACAACTTACTGCTTAGGTTGGGGGGGTTTCGGGACCTCACTGTGCCGCACGGGCGTGGGGGCGTGGGCCATTCTGATATTCTTTAGGTATATAACGAAAAACATGTGTAAACCATTCTGATACAAATGAGTCTGTAGCTGTTTAAGGGGCTTTAAACAATGTCCTATGTTCATTCGCGCAAGGGGATCTTGTATGGGGATCAGTGTGTGTGTGTGTGTGCGCGCGCGCATGCGTGCGTGTGTGCGTACGTGCATGCGTGCGTGCGTGCGTGCGTGTGTGCGTACGTGTGTGCGTACGTGCGGGCGGGCGGGCGGGCGGGCGGGCGGGCGGGCGTGCGTGCGTGCTCGCGTGCGTGCGTGCGTGCGTGGGTGGGTGGGTGGTTGGGTGGGTGGGTGGGTGTGTGTGTGTGTGTGTGTGTGTGTGTGTCTAGGTTGGACCCTGTTGAGCCCCATCTTGAAGAGTTGCCTTTCTCTGCAATCACTACCACTGCACAATATGTCCTATATGCAGCTTTTTCATCAACCCCCACTGGAGAATGTGGACAAGCAGGCGTCTTATTCCGAAGCCCGGACAAAGCCTAAAACGAAGCCTTGTTGCATGATGATTGAGCCAGTCGTCTTCCTGGTAAGGAACATACATACAAGGCTTGCAAAATCCAGTTGCCAATGGTACACGTACTTGCCCGTGAGAAGAAGAGGGGGCTGGTGTTGGGGTCAGGCAGGATTGACCGAAAGGCCTTTGTAAAAGGAAGGCGACCTTTTGAGAGGAGGCTGTAGAGAGATTGCCGAGGATTTTGGTCTGGTGTTTTAACTCTACGCAGCCCACAACTGAATTGGGAGTTTCTCAAAATAGGACTCCCCTCTTGGGACAGTCTTCAGAGGCAACCAAAGGACACCAAGCATGCAGAAGGAATTGGTCCCTTTGGAGGAGCAACTCAGAGCCTCCAGGGGCCCTTGGAAGGCAACCTAATCCTTTCGACTTCGAGCCGAGCGAAATGAGGCTGCACATCACTGGAGGTGGGGCAATGCCAGCCCCGGCCGTGGCTCGGCGAAGTCGTGGGTGTTATTTCTCCGTGTGTTGTTCCTTCTTATCTGAGGTAGGGGCTTTCTGATTGTACGGTTTTGTCCACTGTTTGTTTTGTTTTGAGGTTACAGTTTCGCGTTTTTGTTCAGGGGATTCCTTGATGGCGTGAGTGTCAGGAAGCTAAGTTCCCATAAGCCCCGATTCAGGCCGGTTTCAAAGTGCTCCGACCGCTTATGGGTCATATTGTCGGAATCCGTCATGCACCGGTCTGGGACATGAACTGTTCCATCTAAAGGTGATCCTGTGCAAAACAAAGTTGTTCCAGCATGCTTTAGGGCTCCCTGAGACTTTGAGGTTTCGCCCCCTCATGTGTTGGGCCTGGGCTTGGGCCAAAACTAATCTCCGTCGGGAGTTTAACCTTTTTGGTTTTCGTCCTTTCCATTTACCAGGGCGACCCAGTTTGGGGTTACCCTATTTTTGACCCACTTCCATTCCATTTTAATGGCTTTTGCAGAGCTCAACCCCAAACAATTGCTCCGCCATTTTGGGGTCAGCCCCATTTTGACCTATACCCTCCGTGTACGTCACTCGCATCTTCTAGGCCCCCCAGCTAGGTGCGCTTTCTCACCCCTTTTTTGGTTGGGAGGGTTCCCCTACTACAGCAAAAAAATGATTTTTCTAGGGGTCAATGCCCTTAATTTTGGGTAAGGACCAACCATTTTAAGGGTCCCTTTTTTGGTTGGGAGGGTTCCCCTACTAAAATAGACGAAACAGAAAACAAATTGGTACCCTTATTATCTATCCTCTCTACTGGACCTAGAAACTATGGCGAGGTCGTCGAATTCACGCCCAGGTACCCGGCCTTCGAAGTCATAGAAGCGCCCGAAGCCCCAAGGATCCCGCGTTCCGAGTGACTGACATTGGGGTCACCAGCCATCCTTTGAGCTTTCAAGGGTGGCTGTGGGTCAAAACCAATAGGATCCCATTTTGGGGTAGGTGAATTCACCACCCATTTTAGAAGCAATTTTGGTTGGGATTGGAATGTTCACTGGGGGTACGGTCTTTTGACCCATGGCCATCTGCCTTTGAGCTTTCAAGGGTGGTTCCCTTGATGTGGTTGTCTTGAGATCTGGGTTCTGGAACCATTCTTTAACAAGGGATGGGGAAGGCAAGGATTCCCTTCCCATGATTTGTGGTTCCCTTGTTTAGCACGAGTAGTTCCCAATGCCGCTTTTTTGAGGCCGGTTCCCTGGGTGAAGTTTGAACAAAAGCACTGGAATCATTAGTGAATTATCAATAGAGGCATTGGTTCCTATCCGCGGAGTCCTGTTCACGGGCATGGAAGCAGCGGTGAGAATGCTCACCAAGGGCATGATTTCTGGCTCCCTGGGTCGAAGGAAATGGATTTGGTTGCTTACGAAGGAATTTGGCTATTATTGGAACATATTGGAACCTTCGGAACCAACGGTAAACAAAAGCACCGGAACCATTGGTTCCTATGGGAAATGGCTGTGGTTAGAACAGGGACACCTCCAGAAATGGGTGGCGACCTTTTTGCTTCCCCTCAAAACATACCTAAATAGGGGGCCCTCCAAAAAGGGAAACCCAAATGACAAAAAAGGGTAGGAGATGGACATGGTTGTTGTTGGGAAACATTTCACACTGTTGCTTATTGTGGTTTAGTGGTTGAAATCCAACCACTTAACTGATAAATGTTGAGAATTTGTTGCTCTTCCAGGATTCCAACGTCAGCCAAGCTTTTAGGTCTTGTGTGTACCTCTTCACCTTGGAGTACCTGCTACGCTTGGTCATGGCCAGCTCCCAAGCGCCAAAGCGATGGCATGCGCTGAAGAAAGACTTCGCGCTTGCCTTTTCCACCTCGTTGGTTTTGTTTTTCTTGTTGGTTTTATCATGTCGGCTTGTTATTTGTTTCATGTTGGCTTATCATGTTGTTTTTCCACCTCGTTGTTTTTTCTTGTTGGTTTTATCATGTCGGCTTGTTATTTGTTTCATTTTGGCTTATCATGTTGTTTTTCCACCTCGTTGTTTTTTCTTGTTGGTTTTATGATGTCGGCTTGTTGTTTTTTCATGTTGGCTTATCATGTTGTTTTTTCGACCTCGTTGGTTTTTTGCTTGTTGGCTTTATCATGCTGGCTGGCTATGTTGGTTGTACCTCGTGATCGTGTTGTCCTTGTCGGTTTTAGCATGCTGGCTGGCTATTTTGGCTCGGCTGGCCGCGGGATTTGGGACCCAACCCAGGGTCGTCTTGTTTGGGCAATAAGCGAGTGTTGTCTTTTGGAGGATACCGGATACCCCGTTTTGGGTTTGTGTTGAATGGAGCGCACATGACACTCATGAAGTTGTCTCACTCAGAGGTAAAGCCTAAATATAGCTTGTCCGGAAGGTATGAGACCCCGAAAAAAAGTGTACCAGCAGAGGCATGCCAATTAGCACGAGCCCACTTTGGCATGGCAAAGGATGGCAAGCACACCATGAATCCACGCGAGATTGATGAGCAAACCCCACCTTGGCAGGGGATCTGGATCACTCTGTGCGGGAGACGCCCGCTCCCTTCTTTGTATTTGTCGGCTTTGGTTCGGGGGTCGTCATGTGCTTCCACCGGTTTGCGGATGGTTTTGGGGGACAGGCATTTCGAGGGCTTCTCCAAAGTACGTTTGGGGCGGAGTTGATGTTATCGGTCCCAGATTCAGGTGGCTGCGGGTCAAGAATGGGTACCCCACATGCGCTAAAGCGCCTGGAGTCTGCATGACCCGAAATAAGAATGGGTCAATGACCCACCAAACTTTTGGGGTCATGGACCCACCATTTTTCCAGGGTCACGGAGACTCCAGTCGGCGGTCCGGGTGGCGGAAAAGTTTGAGACCCCCCGCCAGGCGGAAAGAAGCCGTGGGGGTTCTCGGGACTCACTCAGGTCCATCGAGTACGCTTCGAGCTGCTGGACGAGTATTTTGTGGCGGCGGCTCGGCTTGCGATCTCCGGCAAGGGTTTGGGCGTGAGCGTAGAAGGCGGCATTTTTGCAGGGACATCCACTGAAGGTTTTTTCTTTTTTTTTCTCAGGACCAAGTAGGGGTGTGTTTTGTGTTTGAGGCTCGGGAAAGGTCTCAAAGGCTTCAGCCAGCAAACTAACGCCCATAAGTATGTTTGGAAGCGCCTTGATTTCAGCGGCGACCTGTAAGTTATTTTGTTCGAACCCACGACGGGGAAAACGGGTGCAAAGCCTACCAGTAGAAGCTACGATATCCGCAGGGACTGGGATCGCAACTGTTTCTACCTCCATGCCTTACCTTTCTTGGGAACCCTGGACGAATCAACCCCTGGTTGATTCTCCCTGGGTGCTCCAGAATGTTGATTCCTGGGTGCTCCGCAAATCCTTCGCTCTTGTGGGTGACAGCCCCTAGTAAAAGGACAGGTTTATTTTGTTCAAGGGTCAACATTAGGCTGTACATTGATGGTTCCCCCTTGAGTTACCTACCGCAGTTCATCGAAGGACTGGGATAGGTTAAGGTTACCAGGGTTTTCTGTCCGAAGAAAACATCCAGGACAAATACTGAAGGCTTGCCACCATTATAGCGGGTAACCAGGGCTGGTTCTGCATGAAACGTAAAATCGGGATCGGGAAAGCACCGAAGAGCTACGTCTTGTGATTCGAAGCTGGAAGCAAAGAAGACACTCCTCAAACATATCAGCTTGCCGCAAGCAGAGAAATTTGGCTATCTGAACGAAGTTCCCAAGAAAGAAACCTCACAACTCACGTAAGTCTAAACCGAACCAAGACTTACACCGAACCTGAGTCAAACATCAAGCAGGTTGCATTCTGTCCTGAGTGAACAAGCTTTGAATCAATAGACCATAGACCCTCCTACTGGAGCTGTCCGGCGATCCTGGAACCAAAAAACTGAACCCTCTTGGACTTGAGCATTTTGATGGCTTCAAAAAGCTCCCCTGGTGGTCCGGGTACCTCCAGGTTGCCAACTTGAGTGGATGCCAGTTACTAGAAATGCTTGGTCACCATCTATTTTCCCTTTGATGTTCGATTCAATTAGTCGATACTGCATTTCTATCAACAGTGTAAATTCCATTTTCACTAAAAGTAATAAATGATCATGACTACTAGTACTTTATCATTACTATTTACCATTAATATTTATTTGGAAGGCTTTTTTTTTGGAGAAGTGAATGGAATCGCTAGGTGAGGCTTCGCTTCGCTCAGCTTTCCGAAGCTGAGGGCGTGCTCAAGGGAGAGACAGACGTCGCGACAGGCGCAGAGTTCGCTCGCACTTGGTGTCGGAATAGAGGTATCTGGGATCTTCAAACGAGTACCATTGTCTCCTTGTGGTTTTACTGTTTTGACCAGTTGCCGCTTCTCAGGTATTGTTTGTTTTCTCCTTTTGGTTTCGAAGTTACCGCCAAAAAGCACCAAACACCTGGGTTCCTGGTGCCTGTTTTCAGTCTTGCCAGTTCTCTCGGACTCCTACCGGGCTTCGATCGCTCGCACGCATCCCAAAAGGGACCGGTGACCCCATGCCATATGGCCATGGGTCAAAAGCCCGTACCCCCAGTGAACAACTAAAATAGACTAAGTGCACCTCCCCCAAAATGGGATACCATTGGTTTTGACAACCACAGCCATACGTTTGATGCTTCCGAGGCGCGCCCAGGCGCGTTACGCGCACACGATGGAAGCAGCAGGGGTCAGCTCTCGTTTCGCAGGCTCCTGGCTGAGCTGTCTCTGTCCCACCCGCTCCAAGGGCGAGCCCGGAGCCTTGGAGCGGCCAGGCGGCTGCCAGGTGGTCGACGGAGCTGGGGAAAAAAAATACGGGCTATGCCGGTGCTTTGGGCGCTTGGCTATCCAATGCATTCTTGAGGTTTTAGGGAATTAGCGGAATTGGTGGGTGGAATGTTGCAGACGCCTTCATGCCTTTTCAGCATGCTCTCTGCTGTTTCATGTGGATTCCTTTGAGGGCAAGGTACGCTTGTTTTAAGCCATTGTGGACATAAGTGGCACGGTACCCTTTGGGTTGCTACCAAAACCACCGAGATTCATCGGCTGGAGCAAGGCACTCCGCAAGATGATGGGTTCTCAAGATGGTTTCTTAAACAACATTTTGTTGGTTTTTCTAAGAGAACCACGGTCCTTTGTTGGTGAAGCAAGACGTGCAACGCTGGGGCCATCCCAGAAGATTAGTTGGGATAGTTTAAAGCCAAGTCCAATCAATGTTACAGGGGAATGAGGTGTGCAACTGTAGACTGCAGCCCCTCGTAGGGAAATGTTTGAAGCTTTGCCGCGATGTAGCCCCTTGTAGGGAATGTGTTTTTGTTTCTTGTATTCTTTCCCGCCTTGCCTTCCATTTCGCAGTTTGCAAGCCATGCCACCCATCAAACTTCATTGCATGTCGGGCTTCGAACACGGGCTGCTATTAGTGAAAGCCAGTAAGGCCTATTTTGGTAACTCTGGGTTTAGGGTTTAGGCTTTCCATGGGTTTCCTCTTTAAGGGGAAGGGAAGGACGACCCCTCGCCCCCACATTGGATTCGATGGCGACTGGGTGTTGGTTAGGCTCGATGGCGCGGTGACCACCACCGTGAAGCACATCTTCGGCCCGGAGACCAAAGGATCGCTCGAGAGGATCGGACCCCTGGGCGCACTTCCTGAGTTCCAATTCCGTTTCGGGCTTGAGTCACTGTTCGGGTTTGGACCAATTTTGCTAGAAAAAAAGGGTGTGTATTGGTTTGGCCAATCATTTCAGGAAGTGAGAAGTGGGATTTGGGGTTCTCGAAATAACTTTGGAGGGGGGTAGTAAGGGTCCTGCGGATGGTGTTTTCGATGCTCCGCGGATTGGTCCGAAGTTACTACCGGATGGATCGAGGGTCACTCCACGTGAAAGTGCGCAACTGGGCAGTCGGATTTCGAATGACCCTGACTTCCAGAGAGAGAGAGAGAGAGAGAGAGATCCCCAAACGAAGTATACAACGAAACAAGGTATTCATCGGTATTGATGGCATCAGCATCATACTTGAATGGATTTATAGCATTCAAGTCAATGATCTCTTTTGAATCAAAGCCCGGGTAGATGATGGTTCGCATCAAGGATAAAGTCTCAACCATGAAAATATATAGGTGTGGCTGTTCATGTTTTACAAGGGGTGAACCGTGTCAATAGGAGATGTTGCTTGTGACTTGTGGTTACACGAACAGAGGTAGGGCCTTGGGTACCTGTTGGGGGATCAGTCCATTGCTACTCCCTTTGCAGTGCTTGCAGGCACAACTATCATGTGCAAAACGGGCTGGATGGCGCCGAGTAAAGCCTACTAGGATCTCTGGGAATGGACCCATCTCTGGGGATTCCACTATTGAGACCCTTGACAAGCTGAAAGAGATTAGGCAATCAGGAGAAACCACCATGCAACACCTAGATGAACCAATACCAAAGGGGTACCCATAGTATTTGGGATGGGTATCGTTGCAGGCCTCACCAACCTCATCGACCTTTCTGCGATTCTTCCCTTCTGGATTGAGACCTTCAATCCGCAGGACCGGTCCGAGTCGAATTTCGGCATGGCCGAGACGGGTGGACGAAGTCCGGAAACGAGCGGAGCTGAGATCTTGTTTTTTGTTTGCCTAGTGGCAGTGATTGGGCCGAATGCTTTCTGGTATCAAAGTGAGAAACTGGGGTCGATTCCCTTTTCCCCAGTTCGGGAAATGTTCGGGGTGGCTTTGATCCGGGGCTCATGCACCTTGGGCTCAGCCACGTTCTGGAGTTGGTACCCCCAAAATATGAGTGTCCAGCTCTTGGTGTGATTTTTACAGGGGACCCTTTCGTGGACATCCGCACTCGGTGGGTCCCGATTCATGTTCACCAACCACTCTTGAGGTGGCTCTCTATTGAGATGAGCCATATGGAGGTACCCCCCGAGAAAGGGACTCGATTGCACCAACGACACTTGCTACCGCTCGCCCCCTTTTTTGGGCTCGCTGGCGCGTGACGCTTTTTTTTTTCCGCCAGGAGAACACGCAGGGAGGCGCTTTGGTGGCGTTACGCCTGCTCAGGAGCTTGTTGCCGAAGTCAGTTTCGACTTGCCAGAGGTGTCCTGAGAAATTCCAGCGATGAATCCCCCCCTCGAATGGGGACATCCCCCGCTTTTTGTTTTTTAATCACGAGGTTTATCAATCCAGGGGTTCCCTTATTCACAAGAGGTTTATCAATCTAGGGTTTCCAGGTTTATTCATTTCTCGAGCCATAGCATTGCCGTTCGGCCGTTGGGCCGAAACGGCCCGTTTAGGTCCTGACTCGTGACCTTGTGGCTCTTGCTCTGACTCAATGGGCTTTGCCCTACTGACTTTCCTGGCAGTGGGGTGGGAATTCTGTCCCAGGCTTCGGCGGATTGTGACCTTTAAAAAAAAGAGGCCAAAGGAGAGTGAGAACAAAAAGCAGTGGTTTATTGCCACGGTTTGTCCGAACCATGGACATTTGGCTGTTCAGGTTTTTGCACCAGGTCCATTTCTTCCCCAAGTCCTGGTTTCTATTCTGGTACATCGCATCACTGGACTCTCTCCTAGGGTGATTCTAATATTTATTTTCCTTTTTCAAAAGTGACAGGAGGGTGCCGCTCAAAGGCTGACTTTACGCATGTGCAGGATCACGCGGATATTTCGCGTCTTCAAGCTGGGTCGGCAGCGGCCGGCATGCTTTTTGGTACAGGTGTTCCACCCCCTCGTAAGTTAGCTAAATCTATGTGGGTGTGGCTCAAAATTCAACAGGAGGGGTTATGCAGGTTTTGGTCCATGTTTCCGCTTACCAAGGTACCGGTTTTTTGAGCCACAGCCATGTGTGTCTGTCATGTGTTGTAGATCCATCTGATTTTGTGATACATGTTGCATAGCAGCTTTGCCTGCACTTGTGCTGGGTACAAACAATGTTGTTGTTTCCACTACCCACGACCATGATGCACATGTTGGGTGTTTTGACCCTGGCGCATGTGGGTACGTGTTCCCTTTACACCAAGCCCGGTTGTCCAATGGTGCCAATTTTCCTTTTTTGGGAAGGGTTCCCCTTTAAAGTCAAGCAACCAAAAAAGGATGCCCTTTTTTCCCACAGCCACTGGGCATTTGAGCAAGGTGAAAGGCACCCCAAAAAAGAAACACGATGGATGGGTCCCCTTTTGGTTTCCCGTTAAGAACCAACCTCAAAAAGCATACCTTGAGGAAAAGTCACACACCCTTTAAACCACGTTCATGTTGAAACCCGGTGATGGGGGCCCACATGAACATTTTTCTGCGCATAAGAAGCACCGCGCCTTTCCGGGGATCCCGCTGGGGGAGGGATCCGGGGATCCAGGGATCCAGGGATCCGAATCGATCCGCCAGGTACAGCGACGCCTTTATGCTTTTCACCCGGGTCATGGAACAGCGCTTTGGCGATGAACACTTTAGTGCTCCGATTTCGGCTTCGCGATGTTTCGATAGCAACCATTGCTTGGGGGCGTGTGGTAAGGAAAGACAGGCTCATAATTTTGGTAGTTAAGCAGGAAACCAAAGGAGGATCTTCCAACGAGCATATTATTCATAATCTTGTTCAATGGTCTGCCCTTGATGTTGCGAGTCCGCTGAACAGGGCAGGCCCCATGATGGTGGCTTATTTGGAGATCTCCGAAATTCAGGCTTGGATGACAGATGAGTGGCCACATATCAGGCCCTTGCCGTAGTGTGTCTTCTAGCCTTCACCTCAAGATTCAGGCAATTTCTTGCGCCAAGGCCTTTTGGGGGTATGTGGCTCGCGCAAAGACACCCTCGTTGGATGGCCGTTTCCCAGTCCCCCAGGAATTCGCTCCCCTTTTTGGTGTCTTGCTTTTTTGGGGTCCCATTTGTTTTCTTTACTAGGCAAAATTCTAGGGGTTGATTCCTTGTCCATTCTCTTCAACCATCGTTCTTTTCAACAACCGATCGCTGTTTTCCCAGGGTGTTTGGTTTTCTAGAAAGATCCGGATTCCGGGAAAGAATAGAAATAGAAGCTACCCTTCTAAAAGTCTTCCGTTTTTGGTCCCCCTTTTGTTGTTTTCCGCCGACCAGGCAAAAAAAATAAAGAGCTGAAAATGCTGGGGTCCCAAAATCCAGCCAAGGTCAGTGCCCGCGCTCTCGCTGATGACCTTCTTCATCATGCTGGGCTGCGGTCTGCCAGGGCCACCAGGGGGTTTGAGATTTGAGACACCGGGAGGTCTCGCCGGGCCTCCCGGCGCCCTAAAGGGCATCCAGAAAATTACTTGGACCCTGCAACCGCCCGCAAAAAAAATTGGGACACATGACGACTCACTTTTTGGGGGCAACCATCCATTTTCAGGCGCTTTTTTGTGTGGGTGCTGAGTTGAACAAACTATCGTAAGGCCCTTGAAGGTGGCAGCATGTTCATAGGGCTGACGTCCTGCAGTACCACAAAATGCTGTTCAGTTGGCAAATTTCAGTTTGTTGCGAGATGGCTTCAACTTGCTTCTGAGTTGTGGGAGCGGAAGCACCAGGTTTGTTGGTGTTTTTTTTTCTGCTTCGCCAACGCATGCGCTAATAACCTTTGAGTAGTATTTGCGCAAGACTCCGGACAGGTTTGTGCGCAATACTGACCCCAACACATGATCATGGAATTCTGCCATCGCTTTGAGTTTGTGTTTGTGGCAGCATAAGAGTCTAGCTACTTGGATGTTCGACCTACTTTGTAAGTAGGAGGCAACCATGGATTGTATGTCGAACAAGGCCCTCATTGTATATGCACATGGCTAAGGCTTTTGCCGAGTGCCACGGCCTGGTATAATTCTACATGAGGCTGTGAGCCTGGGGGTGAGCAAATGGACACTCGCAGGTGGAAGTCCTCTTGGTGTTTCTTTCTCTCCTTTTACTTGTTTGTTTTTCATTACAATTATGAGTGTGTTGATTGCATTTATTTAGATTATATTTATTTAGACAGGGCGCGTGTGAGCAACTTCCACTTCCATGGATCTTGCCTCACGTTTCCGACTCTGCAGCGAGCTACAACCAGAAGGTAACTTGGCCCAAAGACCCAAGGACTTGAATGGCGACTCGTTTTTTGTTTTTTTCAAAAAATCAGGGTTCAAGCTTTCCCAATGATTCCATGCAACTTGTTGTAGGCAACCAGCAACCAAGGGAACCGCCTATGAAAAAGGCCAATAGAACACTGGCTGGAGGTCCACTGGACTTCGTCTCCGTTTAGCTCAGACCATCGCAAGCGTAAGCGAAGATTTGTTTCGACGCGGTGTTTAGCCGGTAAATGCGGTTGAAGTCGGTAAGTCGGTAGATTTGTTTAGCCGGTAAACAACCACCCACCTACCCTGCTTACTCGCCATTGTGGGTCGATCTTATGCTGAAAACGCTCAACCGTTGCCATGCACTGCGTCCACGCTTCTGAGTTGCACCGGTTTTAGCTTAGAGACCCATGCCTTGTTTTCGAGGCCCCAATATCATGCATATATAGAACGTATAAGTATGGTGGAGCTCCAGTCTCTTTGTGAATCTACGCTCATATGTAATCATAATATATGTACCTGATGTGGATATATATATATATAGATGTATTATATTGATGTGTAAATCTTAAATATGATAGACATATGTATACATAGAGAAATGAATAAATACATATACGTATATATATATATATATATATTCACGAGGTGGATCCCTGTTGCAACCTGCCTGCAGGTTCGGTACGATGATCTGGTTCGCGGAGGGTGGGGAGTGGCACGGGGCCTGGCGGACTCAGGGGGGGGGGGGTCTGGTCGGTCAACCGGGGATAGGTCAGCCGTCCGGTGCGCCTTAGGTTTTTCAGGTGTTGCAGGGAATGAGTTGGAATGAAGCTTTTTGGGGGTTTCCCGAGAAAAAAAAGCAACACCAGTTGGATGGTTTATGTGGCTTCCCGAAAAAAACACCGTTTTGGGGATTCCCGAAAAAAGGAAAGCACGATAGTTGGATGGTTTATGGGGCTGCCAAGCACCAGCGAGTTTGGTTCTTTAGGGTTTAGTGCTTTTGGTGTCCATACTTAACCCACTGAAGGTTTTCTCAACTTTTAGGGGATCAGTTTGGACAGCCCAGTGTTGGTTGTTGGGTTTTGATTGTGCCTTGTCTTGTGAAAATTACCCAACAAGCTGTGCCGAACAAGTTTGTTGGCTCGTGTTTTGAGTTTGTCAGTTTGATTGGTTGCCCTTCCTTTCAACATCAGGAAAACCAATGATGTCAAACTTATCATGCACGATGACAACTGGACAAGTGAGGTGGCATGGTTGGCTGTGTGAAACAACACCTTTAGGTGGCCGATCACAAGAAAACTTCCATAACTTATGTTTGGTGTGGAGATGGGCGCCCTGGGTGTTCAACCTAGGCATCTCTAGAGACGATACACTCTAGGGGTACCTTCCCCATTTTTTAGGCATCCTTCTTTCTTGAAAAGAACGATGGGTTGGACTCAAGCCCTAGATACACCCCGTGTTTTTTGGACCCCCCCCCCCGTATTTTGGGCACCTGCCGTCTCAGGTATCCCTCAGGCCACGAAGTGCTTGGGATGCTCAACATCACTGGCCGGGGCGCGTGCGCCATCCGAGCGGGGGCGAGCCATGTGAGCTGGAGTCTTCTGATCCCAGACAAGGTAACCCTGAATTTGGGAATACGCGGCATACCCCCCCAACTTCTTCATGACTCCAGGTACTGGCGAGCTTAGGTAGTTCCACTCGAAAGGAACATGTGTGATGGAGCGTGTCTTCGTGTTGTAGGGAATGAGCCAAGGGGTCGTTTTTCCCAAAAGCATCTCTGATGCTTGGGTTCTGCTTTAGGTTTTCTCTTAAGGTGCCTGGGAGCGATACAAGCTGTGACGAAGGAGATAAGAAGGGATTTCCATTTCGTTGTGCTGCAGACCGGGCGTGCGATGCTGGCTGGGGGTGCAGACCGGGCGTACGAGGCTGGCTGGGGGGAAGGCGGTGTGGTGCAGACTGGGTGCGCGAGACTGGCGCGGTGGACGCTCGTGACAAGCGGAAACCGCCCCCGAGCGAGACGGGCGCGGGGGACGCTCGTGACAGGCCGAAACCGCCCCCGAGCGAGACGGGCGCGGGGGACGCTCGTGAGCGAGACTGGCGTGGTGGACGCTCGTGACAAGCCGCGACAGGCCGAAACCGCCCCCGAGCGAGACTGGCACGGTGGACGCTCGTGACAGGCCGAAACCGCCCCCGAGCGAGACCGGCGCGGTGGACGCTCGTGACATGCGGAAACTGCCCGCGAGCGAGACTGGCGGAGACTGGCGCGGAGGACGCTCCTGACAGGCCGAAACCGCCCGCGAGCGAGACGGGCGCGGGGGACGCTCGTGACAGGCCGAAACCGCCCCCGAGCGAGACTGGCGCGGTGGACGCTTGTGACAAGCGGAAACCGCCCGCGAGCGAGACTGGCGCGGGGGACGCTCGTGAGAGGCCGAAACCGCCCCCGCGCGAGACGGGCGCGGGGGACGCTCGTGACAGGCCGAAACCGCCCGCGAGCGAGACTGGCGCGGTGGACGCTGACATGCGGAAACCGCCCGCGAGCGAGACTGGCGCGGTGGACGCTCGTGACAAGCGGAAACCGCCCCCGAGCGAGACGGGCGCGGGGGACGCTCGTGACAGGCCGAAACCGCCCCCGAGCGAGACGGGCGCGGGGGACGCTCGTGGACAGGCCGAAACCGCCCCCGAGCGAGACTGGCGCGGTGGACGCTCGTGACATGCGGAAACCGCCCGCGAGCGAGACTGGCGCAGAGGACGCTCGTGACAAGCGGAAACCGCCCCCGAGCGAGACGGGCGCGGGGGACGCTCGTGACAAGCCGAAACCGCCCCCGAGCGAGACGGGCGCGGGGGACGCTCGTGACAGGCCGAAACTGTCCGTGCGGGGGACGCTCGTGACAGGCCGAGACCGCCCCCGAGCGAGACTGGCGCGGGGGGCGCTGCCCCCGAGCGAGACTGGCGCGGTGGACGCTCGTGACAGGCGGAAACCGCCCTCGAGCGAGACGGGTGCGGGGGACGCTCGTGACAGGCCGAAACCGCCCCCGAGCGAGACTGGCGCGGGGGACGCTCGTGACAGGCCGAAACCGCCCCCGCGCGAGACTGGCGCGGTGGACGCTCGTGACAGGCGGAAACCGCCCTTGAGCGAGACTGGCGCGGTGGACGCTCGTGACAAGCGGAAACCGCCCGCGAGCGAGACTGGCGCGGTGGACGCTCGTGACAAGCGGAAACGGCCCCCGAGCGAGACGGGCGCGGGGGACGCTCGTGACAGGCCGAAACCGCCCCCGAGCGAGACGGGCGCGGGGGACGCTCGTGACAGGCCGAAACCGCCGCCGAGCGAGACTGGCGCGGTGGACCTTCGCGACAGGCGGAAACCGCCCTCGAGCGAGACTGGCGCGGTGGACGCTCGTGACAAGCGGAAACCGCCCTGGCGCCGTGGACGCTCGTGACAAGCGGAAACCGCCCCCGAGCGAGACGGGCGCGGGGGACACTCGTGACAGGCCGAAACCGCCCCCGAGCGAGACGGGCGCGAGGGACGCTTGTGACAGACAGGCCGAAACCGCCCCTGAGCGAGACTGGCGCGGTGGACGCCCGTGACAGGCCGAAACCACCCCCGAGCGAGACTGGCGCGGTGGACGCGGTGGACGCTCGTGACAGGCGGAAACCGCCCGCGAGCGAGACTGGCGCGGTGGACGCACGTGACATGCGGAAACCGCCCGCGAGCGAGACTGGCGCGGTGGACGCTCGTGACAGGCGGAAACCGCTTGCGAGCGAGACTGGCGTGGTGGACGCGTGACATGGGGAAATCGCCAGCGAGCGAGACTGGCGCGGTGGACGCTCGTGACATGCGGAAACCGCCCGCGAGCGAGATTGGCGCGGCGGACGCTCGTGACATGCGGAAACCGCCCGAAGCGAGACTGGCGCGGTGGATGCTCGTGACATGCGGAAACCGCCCGCGAGCGAGACTGGCGCGGTGGACGCTCGTGACACGCGGAAACCGCCCGCGAGCAAGACTGGCGCGGTGGACGCTCGTGACACGCGGAAACCGTTCGCGAGCGAGACTGGCGCGGTGGACGCTCGTGACATGCGGAAACCGCCCGCGAGCGAGACTGGCGCGGTGGACGCTCGTGACATGCGGAAACCGCCCGCGAGCGAGACTGGCGCGGTGGACGCTCGTGACATGCGGAAACCGCCCGCGAGCGAGACTGGCGCGGTGGACGCTCGTGACATGCGGAAACCGCCCGCGAGCGAGACTGGCGCGGTGGACGCTCGTGACATGCGGAAACCGCCCGCGAGCGAGACTGGCGCGGTGGACGCTCGTGACATGCGGAAACCGCCCGCGAGCGAGACTGGCGCGGTGGACGCTCGTGACATGCGGAAACCGCCCGCGAGCGAGACTGGCGCGGTGGACGCTCGTGACATGCGGAAACCGCCCGCGAGCGAGACTGGCGCGGTGGACGCTCGTGACATGCGGAAACCGCCCGCGAGCGAGACTGGCGCGGTGGACGCTCGTGACACGCTGCGGAAACCGCCCGCGAGCGAGACTGGCGCGGTGGACGCTCGTGACATGGCGGAAACCCGCCCGCGAGCGAGACTGGCGCGGTGGACGCTCGTGACAGGCGGAAACCGCCCGCGAGCGAGACTGGCGCGGTGGACGCTCGTGACAGGCGGAAACCGCCCGCAAACGAGACTGGCGCGGTGGACGCTCGTGACAGGCAAAAACCGCCTGCGAGCGAGACTGGCGCGGTGGACGCTCCTGAAAGGCGGAAACCGCCCGCGAGCGAGACTGGCGCGGTGGACGCTCGTGACATGCGGAAACCGCCCGCGAGCGAGACTGGCGCGGTGGACGCGCGTAACATGCGGAAACCGCCCGCGAGCGAGACTGGCGCGGTGGACGCGCGTAACATGCGGAAATCGCTCGCGGGCGAGACTGGCGCGGTGGACGCTCGTGACATGCGGAAACCGCCCGCGAGCGAGACTGGCGCGGTGGACGCTCGTGACATGCCGGCGAGCGAGACTGGCGCGGTGGACGCTCGTGACATGCCGGCGAGCAAGACTGGCGCGGTGGACGCTTATGACACGCGGCAACCGCCACGTGCGCGGCTCCATGTGAACAGCCCGGCGCTACCTGACCCGAACAAACGGTGCCAATGTGTTTCTAGGACAAACCCTCTCTTCAGAAGCTGTAGCCTCTTGGAGTTCGCCCTACTTATTTGGAAGCAGCCTGGAAGCACGTTGACATGAACATGCTGAGCACACTCGGCCCAAACAAAAGGGCGCATGAACATCCGAACAGCTGACCCCGGTCTACGCAGATCGTGGTAACACTGTGTCTCAGACTTGTTTCGGACAGGCGTCAGACCCACCAAGTGACCGAGGCTTGTCCACACCGAGCCCCCCGCAAAAGCGCAGCGCCGGCCCCATCTCCACACACCTGCGGCGAATCCACCCAACTTGCCATCCACACGCATCCATTGACAACGTGCGCGGCCCTTTCCACAAAGTCACCAGTTGCAATTGGTTGCGAATGGGAAAATAGGTGGAGAAACTAACGAATCCAAGCAAGCTTACGAAGCAAGTTTGTGAAGGCCACGTGCGCGGCTCCATGTGAACAGCCCGGCGTTCCAGGTGCGCCAAGATTGTCCTTTTTGCCGCACACCTGACCCGAACAAATGGCGCCAATGTGTTTCTAGGACGAACCCTCTCTTCAGAGTCTGTGGCCTCTTGGGGTTCGCCCTACTTATTTGGAAGCAGCCTGGAAGCACGTTGACATGAATATGCTGAGCACACTCGGCCCAAACAAAAGGGCGCATGAACATCCGAACAGCTGACCACGGTCTACTCAGATCGTGTTGTAACACTGTGTCTCAGACTTGTTTCAGATGGGTGTAGAGCGAGCTTATGCCTTGCTTCCAATTTGGGAGTGGTAGTTTGTGCGGATCCATTTTCGGATTTCTGCGATTGGATCTTCATGATGAATCGGATGACTTCGTGCCTTCCATGTAGTGCGGGGCCTGTCATGTTTCACCCGTGCCTTTGCCTGTTTCTCTGTGCTTGAGTCGCGGTTGCTCCCCTTCTTCATCTGTTTTGGGGTTGATTTCCCAACTGTGATCAACTTAAATCTTGGTTTGCCTTCGGGATCCACATGCCATGGGGAGTGAGGCTGGTTTGCTTTTGGGTTCCCGGGCTCCTCTTGTTTTGGGGGGTTGGACAAAACGGAAACCACTGCGAAATCACTCGTTTTGAGCGTTCGCCTCGTTCGATGAGTCAATATGGCTTGCCTTTTGCAAGAGCACCCCAGTTATGGAATATGTAACAAGAAACCTTCATTGCCATACCAATAAAATCTATAGTCTGGACAAATTTATAGCGAGCTCACCGATTCGGGCGGGGCGATTCCGGGTCTAGGATGAATGTCACTTGGGGATCCCTGATGTGAAGTGCCATTTTGCAGTCGGATTTGTGGCGTTGCAGCTATGCCTATGTCTTGAAAGCTGAGAATTTGATGCAATTTGGGTATGTGGGACTCCGAACAAGGGGTGTTTGCAGCAAGGTACTTGCGCATGCAGCACCTTCCCTGGACATCTCCAGGTGTGAGGGAACCATCCTACGAGGACCTTCCGCCGGGTTGGCGGCGGAGAGAACCCCCGCATCAAATCAACTTGTGTTGGCCACAGCAGCTTGCACCGCACGACAGGCATACATTTCCCCACCCCCCTCAGAGGGATTAAGTGGTGCTGCTGCGTTTAAGCAACTCGAGAGGGTTTCTTCTTTTGTTCGGTTCGAGGGAATCCTCAGCATTGTTGACCCAAAAGGTGGAGTCAAAAGCCCGGCGCAGGAGACGCCTTTTGAAAGCATCATCCATGGATTTTGGCCTCCCCGGCGACCTTTTTCGAGCTCGATATCGGCGATATCATTTCGTCTGCGAGCTTGGAGACAGTCCTCGGATGCTCAACCTAAGTGGCTTGGTGGATTACAACCAACCTGGACCCCCAAAGGACCCCTTTTTTCTGCCTTTGTACCCCTTTTTTTGGGGTCAAAGGCAGAAAAAAGGGGGTCCTTTGGGGTCCAGGAGTTTAGTTGTTTGCCACCCAAGTTTTTTTCATCCGAGTGTTCTGATTTTCGGGCCTGTGCCTCGGCAACTAGTCTATGTTTCGGAGCCACGGGATGCGACGCCGCAACGCCCTCTTCTGCACGGCTCTCCTTGATATTGGTGCGTGGTGCTTTGAGATGAATTGAGTTGGTACCTTCTGCCAGTTACATGGGATACCCCCGCATGAATCAACCGGGGGATAGCTCATCCTGGGATTACCTACTCTTCAAATCCGGCCTTTTAGAACCTTCTGGCTTTCCCTGTTAGTCATGGCCCAAGAGGTTAGCGTCTCATTTCTGGGTCCTGGCAACTGAGCTTATGAAAATTCCCCGGGTCTGAAGCCCAAATCTCCTTCCCGGTTCAAATGGGTTTTCATCTTCCGGGTGCTAAATATCAACCATAAGTGTTCCATCTTCAACAGGACGCCACAAGGGGACGGGACATGGCGTGAGATTCCCAGGCCCCCAAAAATGCCGCCGGTCTTGTTGCAGGGTTCAACTGGTCAAGGTGCCTATCAAAACCACCCTGCCGAGTAACTCATTTGTTGCCCTTGTTTGCTGCAATGAAGCCAGGCGATGGGCCATGCTACTGCTTTCCTGACCCCTATATACACAACGGGCTGGGCTTTTCTTAGACAAATTGTAGCCCAAGTAATCAAAACGCACCAAACCCCTAGAAGCGCCCTTTGAGTCTTTGTGGGGGGCGAATTGCAACACTTCCCAAGCTGCTTCTCTCTTCTCCCTTATGGTCAAATCTTCCCGGATTCCCTGTATGCCCCCTTTTGGTTGTTTGAAACCATCACCTTTTGGTTGCCAACGTAAAGTGACAGCGTGCACCCACATGAGCCACGATCAAAACCCGGCTTGCGTGAAGGTCGGTGAGGGACAATCCCAACCGCAAGAGGTGCGGATTTCCCCAAGTGGCTTCCTTTGTTTTTGTCCTTTGAAACCAAACAAACTTCCCTCTGAGACAGACCCGCTTGGTTTTGGTTGCTCGCGTGCCGGAAAAAAAAGTCCGCGCCAGGTTCGTCGTGGTGACTATCACCACGGTGGGCTACGGGGATATCGTGCCAAAGACGCCGGCGGGCGCCGCAGAGATTTTGAGCGGAGGAGTGTCAGGTGTTTCTTCTTGAAAGTCGAGCCGTAGAAAGCAGATTCCCCTGAATTGGTGGTTTGGATTTGGATTTGAAGCCCTGGTTCTTGTAGAGGGTAGATGGGAAACCCCTCCTGAACCACCAATCCAAACCGCCAATTGGAGGTAAGCTGAGGAAAGGTATATTAGTGGACTCATGGGAATTTCTACCCAGTCCAAAAAGTGTCGCTGGAGAAACACGGCCGTTTCGGCGGACGCAGGTGTCCAATCTGATTTTGCAGCTGCCTGGGATTCTACTGCTTGTTCAACTGTTGTGTTGGGAAATGTTGAGAAAGGAAAGCTCTTTGCAATCAACCAACCAAAAAGGATGCCCTTCGGGTGCTTTGGCCACTCCGAGAGGATGTCCCGGGTCGTGTGGCCTTTTGGGGTCGTGTTTTTGTTTCTTCTTCTTTTCTCCGATTTGAGGACAGCATTCCCCGTTGGCTGCTCTGGGAGTTTCTCATTTTCCCCATTTGTTGCAGGTCGTTGAACCAATCAATCCCTGGTTTCCCCTTTGAAGGGAAGCCGAATGGAGGCCGATTGAAAAAAAGATGTTGCAAGGGGATCCCGAAAGGAGGTCGTGCAAACCGTGTGCCTGAACCCTCAAACTACCTTCAGGAATGGGAAATCACCCCATAGGTTTGGTTGGCAATAACCCGATGTTTATGGGTAGCTTGAGGGTTGAGGTGGTGGTTAAACAATCCTGAATCCTGACTCTCCCCGCCCCGGAGATTGGCTTCATTGAATCCCGATCCAAGCGGCTCCGCGAGGCTGGCAAAGTGATCGGCACCATGATGATCCTCTCGGGAGTCATCGCAGGGTGCTGAGGGACCACCCCAGCGGACCCCAGATGCTGAGCCATCCTCAAGATCAGAGATCCGAAAAGAAGAAGGAACAAAAAGATCCACCGAGCTAAGTGGGAATCTCCCCGAGTGTTGAAAGAGCGATAGTTCCCTTGCGCTGGGACTTGTTCCATGATACTACGTATAATCATGACCCTGACATGAGGAGTTTTCACTACTCAAGTCCCAGTGCTGCCTGGCGATTCGTCTTCTGTAAGTGGGCCCCCCGATTTTGGAGATTCAACTTGTGCGAATGGTGGGAAGCAATGCGAATGTTACTGGGGTCTCTGTCAAAACTGGTTGATTTAATATATAATAGGTAAGGGTTGACTTAACATGGAAGATAGTCTGAATATTTGTTTGTGTGTACCACACATTGGGCGTTTTGGGAGGTTTCTGAACATGAGCTGGGAAGACATGTCGTGACCAAAGAAGGCGTCCTACCGTTGGGTGCAGGCGGGCCGATGAGATGCGCAGTGGATGCAAGCATCAATGGGGGCGTCTTGTTTTGGGTTGGCTAGCCGGTTTTTCGGGGTTGTTTGAAGGGAGGCCAGCAGGAGCACCATTTTGAGGGCGTCCCGTAAAAACGACACGCCCTTCTCATACAAAAGAAAGAGTTCGATCTCAGGGTCGAAATTGCACCCTTCCATGCTTGTCGGCGGGAGGGTAGCATGACTTTGTCTCCAGAAAGAGCTCGGAAAATGGGGCATGTTCTCCCTTGGTTCCTTTGAAAACAACTCCAAAAAGGATGACAACAAAAACAGAAACCCGAGTAGCTTTTCTTCTTGAGCTTACTGAACTTATTTCAAAGATGCAATGAGTGCATATGTATATATTCACATTACCCTGTGGATTCCAGTTGCCACAACAACAGGTAAGCCATGTTCCTTGTGTTTTTTTTAAGGGTGGTCGGAACTCCTTGGTTGCCCATACAGGTAAATGGATCTGGGTTGTATCGCGAGAATCCAACCTTGTGTTTTGAGTTGGGGCCAGCTGAGGTCTTGGCAATGCCCATCGGCGTAGTAGGCGCCAACTTCAGCCGGGAGTGCCCCCCATCGCTCATGTTCTGGTGTTTTGGTCTTGGGTCCGGACCACCATCTTTGGGGGGCCCCGGGTGGGGGGGGGGGTGGAGCCGTTTCCAGCTTGAAGTGGTCGCATTTTTTGGGGTACTCAAGCTTAGCATGAATCTAAGATGGTTTTCCACCCCTACCGGGTCCCAGAAGGTCTTCGTGGGATACTACAGCCATAAAACGGGTGGCAAACCCAAGTTACCCTGGGGGGTGGTTTCGGGGTTTCGGGGTCATGGAACCCATCTTGGAATGAACACGCCGTGTTTTTTTTGGGTTCTGTGTCCAGCTTGAAGTGGTTGCACGGTTTTGAGGCAACACAAACTTCAGATGGTGAGGTAACCACGCCAAATATGGGGTAACAATGCTGAACAAAAGGCAACACCACCAAGAATGTGCAGTAATCACGTAATCTGACTCAAACTTGCTGTTGAAAGGGCGGGAAGCCCTTCAAACGATGCAGAGGGTAATGGGCGCAGAGAGGTTGCCCTTGAACCACCATGACGGGTTATTTGCATACATGCAGACCGAAGCCCATGAACTTTGTATACGTAGACACACATGTATTATTTGTATTGTTAATAATATCATTATAAGGTATTATAATCATAATTAGATTAATAATAATGATGGTTTGATTAGTATGATCATGAACCGGTATCATTACTGATACATAGATGTATATATATATATGTATTCATACGTAGATACAATTATAGATGTACGTATATGCTTCTTATGTACTCACATCTACCCTCCAGGCCAACATGTCGGTGTACATATATCTATGTGTAGTATTCTATATTGATAGCTTGTGTGGCTTGGAAATGTCCACGGCTGAACAGGGCATTCTCAGTGTCCCATGGTTGTTGGGCCCCCCAAAGAAAAGAGCCCCAAAAAAAAGGAACCCTATCAGCCCCCAATAGGCCGCGATTGGGGTGGGGTCTATTGACCGCTTCCGGCGCCACGTTTGACCGAAAGTGCGCGAATGGTTAAAAGCGTGGAAAAGCGTGGGGGTTTCTATTGGAGACAGGACAGTAGGGGCATTCAACATAGGGTAGTCCTAGTGTGGTTGTTAACGCCCGCCCAAAGAGGGGACCCCCCCACAAAGAAAACAACCGAACCCTGTTAGCCCAGCATAGGAACAGTGGGTGTTTTATATATACATGGATTATACATACATATATATATATATATATATCATTGAGATGGCTTCTGTGGGTTGGGAGCTCCCTGTGGGTTGGGAGGTCCCAACCACTGGCATTCCCAGGGCGTGTGTTTCGTTTTTTCGGTTGGGGGCAAAAAAAAAAAACGAACCCTAGCCCTGGGTGTTTGGCTGGGGTGAAGGTACTACCGGGTCATGGACGAGAAGAAGCGCCGGAATCTGCTGAAGCATCAGCTGGACACCTTGGCGGCGGTTGAGGTCCACAAAAAAAAAAACGCAAACTGCGAGCGAGAGACCCAGAGACCGAGACGAGGGTTGGGCGTGTTTTTTGTTGTGTCCTGCTGGAGGGGTTCTGGGGTGGGTGAGTGGGTGGGTGGGTGGGTGGGTGGGTGGGTGGGTGGTGGTGGGTGGGTGGGTGGGTGGGTGGGTGGTGGGTGGGGGTGGGTGGGTGGGTGGGTGGGTGGTGGGGTGGGTGGGTGGGTGGGTGGGGTGGTGGGTGGGTGGGTGGGTGGGTGGGTGGTGGGTGGGTGGTGGGTGGGTGGTGGGTGGGTGGG